GTTAACGTTTGAATAGATACTAATTGAAGTAATTATGAAAGTTAACTATTATATAGCTATAAGATTATGAGAAGAACATTGAATATAACTGTTTTAATCCTTAATATTTAAATTCGCTAATCTATGAAGATAACTTATTCTTAGAGTAAATCTAAACATTTGTATGGTAACTAGGTTTAACAAGTAATCTCTGCGATATGCTTAGTAAGTTGTACTGTTCAATTCTGTTTTTGTAACAGTTCTGAGTCAACCCAATGACTCATTTAGTAACAATACAAAAACTTTGTGTTTGGGAAAGTTAATGAAATGCGCTAAGAAATGTGAACTCAGTTGTTATAGAAAGATACTATAATGAAAGTTGTTAACAAATGACTTAAAAGAATCTCATGTGATTAGATAAAGAGAATTTTCACTGAAAAATGAGTCTCTCCGTAGCATCGACTACTAGCAACACCGAGGAGATTGGTAAGTTATAAATAATATGTTGCAGTAAAACGAATTTTTTATATGAACTAAAGTTCACTATCAATAATATCTTTCAATACTTTATATAAGTGAAACGTTAACTCCTAAGATTATACTCGCTGTAAACTGTAATGTTGATGAGGTAAACAAGGCAGTAAACTGTGTACTTGACCATAACTGGTCCGCCCATGTTCTGCCCACGTTGCGCCCACGATTATAGCATCTCTAATATTTATCAGATTAATTATTAAATTTATTCTTTTTCATATTTTATGATTTTTCACGGCATTTATTATCGTTATTTAATTCGACGTGCTATACAATATTGATATATTTTATTTTTGTAATCATTTTTTGTTATTTAAATTTTTTCGTTTCTTTAAAGTATTATTGCGTAAATATACTCTTGTTCCATATCTCTATATAAACTTATGAAAATTATTTTTATTTTCTGATTAGGATAGTCTATTTTACATAGAGGTTATTTAATAGTATATATTTTTAATCTATAAATATCAGTGTTCGTTTCACGAAGGATGTTAATGAGATAAAATAAACAGACATTCAGATTTTCTTAATGGATACTCGCCCACGTGTTTGCTTTTAAACCCTTCGGTAACTTAGCTAAATTAAGCGTGCATGTTATTAACCCAGGGTATTTTGGTGTGATTGAAACAAAAACAATATATATTTAATAATAATCAACGCGTATGATATAAATCAAAAATGCGCAAATCCAAATTATTTAAAAATTATGACTTCTCTTCATATTAGGGGACATAATATTATATTATTTACGGAAGTAGGTCGCCAGCCATTTTTTCATCGAGATCATTACTGTGTTGCAACTGTACAAATGCATTCAGGTTACGCAACCTACAACAGTGCCAACATATTGAAGATGGCACGATTTGTGTGCATGTGGCCTTGTCAGCCCGAACCTACTAGATTTATTTATATTCCGTTGGTACTTTCAATATTAGCTTTAAAAAATTAACATTAATGAAGCTATTTAAATATTTTACTAAATTAATGATAAGTGTCACGAAGGTCGTGTCAAATTTATTGATATTTTAAAGACGTACCAAATTAGGAAACTCCAAATATGTTCAGATGTAAACTCCGATGAGAATGTCTTAACTCTGTTGTTTTTATCGAACATCTTTGAAATAACTCACTGAGTTATATAATATACGTACATGATAATTACGGACTGGTTGTATTACGTGCTATCATTATATCGGGAAACTAGTTACATGTCCAGTTTAGCAAATAAAAAAAGAAATATCCTTATTAATTTTAAACCATTAAACTTGATTCACACTGAACACCAAACGTCTATAAAAGATTTACGATAATTTTATTCATCTAAATTTCTTTTCAATATTTCATTTCATTATAAAGTAAGTAATAAAAGTAACTTTGATTAATAATTGCAATTAATTCTTGTTTATTACTCAGATTGCTTTGATATCGTAATAAGCTGACTTGATTGAATGTTACGTAATTTATTATTTTATTCACGTACAGATTTCCTGTCCGATTTTAAATTTGGTCTGAATTGTTGCGCTTGCACAGCGGAATTTAGAAAGGTGAATGACTTTAACACCTTCATTACAAAAATAGTTAGCTGTTAATTATTTTATAATAAATGGACTATCATTATGTTAAGTACTGAGGTCATAAGTTATCATTAACGTTTAATATGAAATGTAAACTTGGTCAGTACGTTTATATAATTTAGAGCAGTGATACAGTTTTTGCTCATTTTTTTTATTAAACAGTAAAATTAATTAATAATATAATAGTAATATATCGTATCAGTTATTCTTTTCCCTTTTCTTGTTAATTTTGCCATCTCGTTCTTTGTAAAGACTATAAGTCAGTGAATTCTGTTGTAATTTTCGCTTTGTGATTCGTAAATCATAGTTGATAAGTTTGTATTTTTTTTAACAACTTCAGCATGGCATTGCAGCTCGTCTAACGCTACTTTTCCGTGCGTCAAAACGAATTAGCGATTGTCCTCGAACGTTTTAAAGAGATAAAGTCTTTAACTCGTTAGCAGTAAGTTCGCTTATCCCATGTTCAATATCAATAGCGAAATTTTCCGTCACGATCTAGGATGCGTTAGCCAAATTAATATGGACTGTATGTAGTCGGTATAGAGATTATATAACAAGAACATCGCAAAATGAAATGCAGTTCGAACGTCGCTGTCTCGTCGTCTCCAACGCACTATCCGGTTGACATTGCCGTAATGGATCAGAATTATCTCCCTCCCTACCCAGGTACTGTGATAAGTGTAGAAAATATCGTTTAATTATCGATTAGCAGAAATTCATACTCAAATATATAGAAAAAATATTTGAGGTATTACATAAAACAAAATTAAGTGCCAATGACGAATAACACGTTCAAAATCTAATGTTGAATCGAATCAGAATATTTTTATAGTGATTTCGATTTTCACTTAATATTCGATTCAGTATATTTCCAGTTTCTGTCTTACATCTGTTTTGCTTTCACTGCTTATATGTAGATGTGAGGTAACGTAACGGGCTGCTCGTATCACCATATTCTGCAAATTATTTACATAAATACAACTTTTTAAATTTCCTTCTAGCGTCCCATTTGAATTTAATGTCGCTTTTCAAACATGGATACAGTTTTTTGTAATTTTAAAAAATACAATAAATTTTAAGACAGTTTTTTTATTCATACGGTTATTGACTCCGAATCAAAAAGGGGAATAATATACGGTACTTTTATTTTTTGGCTCAATAAAAACATTTTTGTGGAGTATTTGAACGTTGTTAAACTGTTATCATAGCAAATTGCCCCCCCAGGGAAGTAATATTAGGTCAAGTTATGTATCATAAACTTGTTTCCTGCGTAACACCAATTGCTCTGCTGTTTCGAGCCGAAATGATCTTCAAAACAATTGCGGCCCACAATTGAGTGGTAATTACAATTTTGCCGACATCGTCATTCGTCATCGACAAAGTCCTAACTTCCCGTATGTAACCATATTAAAAATTGTTTTTTTTTGTGTTCTTGACTTTATAAATTAATTTCCAAAAAATGCACTATAAATCTTATAACTATAAATTCTTATTTTGTGAGCACAGTTACGTGAAAATGCACATTTATTTGCGAACGGCGTCCGGTCATTGACTTCCTCCTAAAATTCGCTTTATTCAGCTTAAATAAGTTCATGGACCCAGAGTATACTGGTTTTCATCAAGTTTCATACAAATTAACAGTTTATTTTTACAATATCATAAAGGTAAACAACTTTTCTTACGTAACCTATAGATAACTTGTAATAGTTTTCTTGTACTGAATATTATATGAACCGTAATGAGGATAATCACTGTGAAGAAATGTACAATCAAGATATCTTCCTGACTTAAAGTAAAATTACTATCGTTTAGAAAGATTACAACTATTTAATCACTATTTCCTTTCAACTACTTTATCTAATACATAGTTTTGTCTCCTAAATAGAAAATAAAAATAATTTTTTCGTTTACCGCTATTTCGTAAATGCCTTATTTATTTCTTTGTCCGGTTTTTTACATCTGCCAAATCCTTTATAACTTTTGACAGCGCGTAATATTCACTGAACTCCTTTTATATTTCATCTGACAAGTAAAAAAACCTAAACAGGTATGTCGTGACTGTCAATTAAGATACACGTATTACGTAATATATTATAATATTCAAATATCTCGCTAAATGTGGTTTAAACTTCAACTATGTATATTATACAAAGCTGTTGAAGGGATCGTTCAATCAAGGCCTACCGTTATAATTACTTTGTTTTGATTCAGTACATGCGCTGGCAACACCGACGGGACTATGTGAGTTAGTGGGTTAATGTATGTAATGATTATGATTTGGTGCCAGTACCGAACTATATTTACTATTATTGATAACGCAAGAATATAAAGATTCTACGTATTTTATGGGTTATAGGTACCTAAATCAGGCACCAAAAAAAGATGTACGATGCTTTTTTTCACGTAAAATAAATATTTTAATATTGTTTTGATTCTCTATTTTTTGCACACATGTTATACTTTCTTAAAATATTTTCTTTTACATAATATTCATGTACATAGCTCGTGTTAAATATACATGCGACAGCGACGCTATTTACATCGAATATTTATTTGTATAGTGATCTATTTCTGGACGTCCTTTGTGTGAAACTTGACGACGAATGTGTATCTTGAATAGTACATATTATAATATGTTAAGTCGCTTAGGTCTTGAATGCGATTATAATGCAAATTAATACACAACTAAGATCTTAGTTAAATATACTTCTAACGTCCCAAACGCGCTTTGTTTATCAGAAGTAAAACATTTGCATTGCTATCAAATAATGTATGCAAACTTGTGACTTAATGTTATTTTGAAATGAAATTTTCTTCTGAAGTTTTAAACTGAATAAGGCCTATACCAAATCCTATATATACATCTATATTGACGTTGAAATAGAGAGTAAATTAATATATTTTCTTCTATAGCGGTGTCAGCAAGATGGTCGGCTCTAAGGGCTGCTGCAATTCGCCGTGGAGGCGCTCGAAGGTTACGTCGCGAGATTGGAGCTCTAAAAGAGACTCTGGACGACATATGCGAGCCAGGAGACTACGCCCCACAACCACATACACGCGCACAACTACATAAGAGAATTGAGGAATTGAAGGTAAACTTTTACTCTAAGAAAAAAGACCATAGGATAGTAAAATCAAAGTACAATATACATTACGAATACTTTTCATCTTAAAAATACATATTCCGACCAATATAATTAATCCATCTGCAAGAAACAAAGCTTAATATTATAATCGAAAAGATACTCTATTTGCACTTTTAAATACAAATTACAGAAAGAAACCACTATCAATGCTGTATAAACTCCATCTAAAGATTATTTCTAAGCTGATGATAATGTTTTGCCTCTAGGAACGTCTATCACGTCTACTAGAATGTAAGGTGTCCATGTTGAAGCTGACTGTGTCAGTCAGGAGAGCTCTTGGTGAAATGGAAACAGATGATAGCGGATTGACGACTGAATTGACTTCCTTGATCGCTGCATGGGATGACGCCCATCAACGGTAAATATTATATTTCTTACTTGATCTAACCTAGCTTTGGGTCTTATCAAGACTTATAGGACCAATAATCCTACTAATATTATTATTGCGAAAGTTTGTGAGTGTCTGTGTATGTTTGTTACTTCTTCACGCCCAAACGGCTGAACCGATTTTGATAAAATTTTGTATACAATAAGCTGACGTCCAGGAATGACATATAGACTACTTTATATCCCGGAAATCCGCGGGACGCAGCTAGTAATTCATAATTTGTAATAGATGAAATGTACTGCACATTTATACAACATTTTCGTTATATATTTGACTAAAAGTCTGCCTGATTTTTACGGTTTACCTAATGAGAGAAGGAAATGCACTCCACATTCTTTTGGTCTACCTAATCAATCACTTTCATTTCCAAGTCAGATTTTTCTGCGGCCAGTTCCAACGATATATCTAACGAAGCCTATAATTAAATAATTGGATACAACGCTCTCGTGACACAGCCCAATTGGGAACATGTTGAACGGCCATCGCTCATTATTGTAACTAGTACATGACTTGTTAATGACGGATCATGGACTTGCAAGGTTAAAATATACCTACATATACGTAATATGTTACCGCGTACGTGAAAAACAAACGGCAAGGTCTAAATATGTATAGAGTATGTTACTACATGGGTCAAAATACATTCCATTTTCAAAATATTTTCATAAAACGGAAATTATTTAGTTCCCAAATAAGTACAAACTATAGATGTATATAATATACAAAAAGAACAAAAATAATGATAAGTATGTATATAAATTACATTTAAAAATGAACGCTTCATAATTATTTTCAGCACCTCACAAATATTGTAATCTACATTTGTCAACTATATCTCATTAATTATCAAATCTTAACAGACTGTTCAGGCCTTAAATGAAACTTATATTTTTCGGATTAATTCGCGTAGAAAAATATTAGTTTCATTTAAATGAACACTCGCGAGAGTCTTAGATCCTATTATGTTCAGTTAATCAAGAATTATCTGATCGTGTGCATTTTCTTCAGAACTTCAACGGAGTTGCTGTCATTGGAGAAGGCTGTGTCAGCGTGGGCTGAATGGGAACGAGCGCTGCGTGAACTTCAGGCAGCGCTGCGTGGGGACCTGGCAGCGTTAGAAGCGCTGCGTGACCGACCCGACTGTGACGAACTCGCCTCACACGTTAGACATCTAGCCGCTGCGTTGTTTGATAAGAAGAAGGTACAGAAACTCAATCGATTATTGTCAAAAACTGACCTTAATGTCTATGACCTAAAGTCTGATTATAATATAATAGTATATGATATTATATAATAGTTCATGAATTTTGCTGGATATTATTTTCCTTAAGGGAAATTATGGAATCAAACGTATTAGGCATCATTATCGACTTTTACATTACTCAATTGTCATATTATGATCTTACTTGTGTTCCTGCCCACAACCACGTTCATATAGATTTTGAAGTCAGATTCAGATGTTAATAAATTGTGTCCCTAAAAATATATGGTAATTTAAGGCAGCGCCATCTATTGTCTGCGTCTAACTTCAAATAAATTACAATTGCTATGCTCCGATACTGAATTTCAGGATAAATTTAAGCCTTTATGTTATTCTGATATCTCATCTACATGACTGGCAATATTATCAAAATTCACTCAGAAATGTTTGCTTGAAAGAGCAATAAACGTCCACATCTTGTAAGAAATTATATTTTTATCATATGGTTACATATAACACGTGAAATTATTATCCACAGGGCGGTTCTACGTGTGATTCTCTATCAGACTCTGGTATATCTGATGGTGACAGTGAGGGCGCGGGCCGTGCGCGTCGATTAACAGCTCTCAGGGAATTAGCACGACGTCTACAAGCAGTGCTCGCTCCAAACTCACCCGCACATAGAGCTATAGCTAAGGTAAACTTATTAGTTCTATGCTAAGAATGTGAAGAAAGTGCTATTGGACATTTCAAACTTTATTGTTTCTTAATTTCTTTTTATCATAATTAATAAGTGACATTAATTTTACAGCGCATGGAACAAACAGAAAATGAAGTTAAAATCCTGCAAGAATCCTGCCGCGCTTTGGTCGAACAGAGTATACCAGATCTAAAAATTGACGAAGTGACGTAAGTTATTTTAGATATCACACATTTGTCTTTTTATATCTCTATTTACACAGGTTTAATAAATGAAATTAATAATTTCAGCCGTGACCACACCATCGCTGTTTCAAGTAAGAAGACGGGTGCTGGCGATCCCGACTATAACCCACGTAGCGGCTGGGTGTGGCGTGTTCTTCGTTCTTCTATTCCCATACAATTGTGTCTAGTTGCATTACTTCTAGCTGCGTGGCTTGTCGAGCGACCTCGATGCTGCGATGCATTGAATTCGCTCGCTCAAACACTAACGCCTCAGTTGCGTTACGTCCGTGGTCCGCCCCCAGTGTGAATCGGCCTTATGTCAATTGTCAGCTGTCAAACTAGCTTGACAGAAAGAAATTGTCAAATGTCATCCTATAACGTGATGACGGTTGACCAATTTTCGTTGTAATTGCTAAAATATTTTACGGAATATCAATTAGAAATGCATGGTCCAACGAAAATTTTAAATTTGACAAATATAAACATGAATATTTACAACGTTCTCGAATAGACATACGTGATAGCAATAAATTAAGAGCTATAATTGCTAGGTTAATGTTTTATCTAAAACGTGGACGTGGGTGGAAATGGTAAAGACTTAGTTAGCATTGTGGTTTAATTTAACCAGAATAAGTGTGGTTCAAATGGCGTTGTGTTATCTGTTACAATAATTTTAGTTTACTTTTATAACTCTTATGGAGTCTTATTGGGTTGTGACATCTTAAACATCCATTTAGTGTTATGCTAATGTTTATTAACTATTTTGTACTCTATTCAAAACTTGAATTTGATAAATTATATTTATACGAAATAAGTTTTGTTTTGGATTTTTATATACTAACAAGCAATGAATTTTCTTTCTATAATCATTGGTGAAATGGAAATAGAAATAGATATAATTAAAGCTGGTTTTAGTTATAGAAACATTGCATTTTATTAGGACGATTGATAAGAAACCATTTGCTCACGAGGAGTTCAAAAGTGTTCCAAAACATCATCTGTATCAGATGAAATTCAAGTTAACTTTGTTAGTTACTAATGATATGACATAGTTAATGTAATCATTGTAGTACAATTAATTAATAGGTTTTAGTGGAGTTTGTTCGCTTTGAGTGACTTTACAATATATATTGAATATCCTAATGATCTTCTCCTATAATGATTTGGCTTAATAAGAGCTATATATAAAAATATATAACGGAATTGATTTTATTCACTACATGAATTCACTTTATTTATATATAATAAATGTGGCCTTATATATATTATGATTATATAAAGACTGATAGTTAGACAGACAAATGTTTGATATGAATTTTATATTTATTATAAGTACATTTTTTTATATTTTTCTCCATATTATTTAGTATTCTTTCTATAATCATTTACGACATTATTATTCTATTAATAAATTGAAATGAACTATCTCGAAATATTATGTTAATGTTTATATTTCTTTACAATTTTGGATGTATATTTAATTTTATTATTTATGATATGTATTCAAACTATTTTAATTTTTGTTAAATTATTTACAGAATACAATATGTACCATCTTGATTTTTAATTCAAAGACGCATGTTATGTTAACTTATGAATAGTTTGTGTTTATCTAAGTTAAGGTATCATTATAATCGGTAAAATTAATGTTCAAAATATTCTTAATATTAATATCTAGTAGTATTAGTATATAGCTAATATTTTAGTATTAATTTTGCCGTAAATAAGTTTAAAATCAGTTCGCCGCAATATACAATTCATTTTCCCGCCAAATAAATCGTGTTATAAGAATACGTTAAAGTAATAGACATTTTGTAAACCTATCAAAATGTAAAAAAAATGTGGCTATGTTCATTTAGTATTTTTAAAATCGAAGGCTGTAAAAAGCTTATGGTCTGAAACTACACAGGTAGATACAGTGAATGAAATAATTTTTACTTCTAAATAAATTTACTACATAAAAACTAAGAGTTAAAAATTATATAAGTCTATTAAAAATAGAATTTGATTTTCCAATGAAACGATTTACTAATTGATATCATTATGATATAAAAACTACTTAACAAATGTTCTGCATCAATTTAATGGCAACATTATGCCTCTTTTGTGTCATATTCCAACTTCTTATTATTTAGATAAATAATGGTGTTGTACGTAGAGGTATTTGATTTGGTTTGTGAGGGATGATAGCATAGAAATTATAAGTTGCATAACAACATGTTGGCTTTTTGAATTGGAAATAAAAAAAAATGTTTGTATGTTTTTTTTTTCATTGACATTTCCCATTTACTCGACCTTAGTTAAAAAATTTGTACTGCTACCAAAAGTGCAATTTCAGAAACAAAATATCAGAACTTACATTTTCAAGTTTACTTTAACTATATATAATATATATGTTATGAACTGGAATTTCTTGTTCTCTTTTTATGCAAAATGTAGAATATAATATTTTACAACTTAAGTAATAAATTAAAATGTTGACTAAAGTTAATGAGATATCTTAACGACCTCAGTATACCAATAGTCCTATCATTGACCTATGGTTACTTTAATGAGTTCTCATATATTAAATATACTAGCTTTCCGCCCGCAGCTTCGTCCGCGTTAAGTTCTTTTTTAACGCTTTTCTAAGAGAACCTTTCAAAAGTCTGGAATAAAAAATATCCTATGTTCTTTCTCAAGGTCAACTCCATCTCTGTACCAAATTTTATTAAAATCAGTTCTGTAGTTTAGGCGTGAAAGCGTATTTTCCATTGTTAAGGCCCCCGCAAACCCCCTTGTGGGTGGAATTTCGTAAAATCGGTTCTTAGCTGACGGCTGACCTCTACTCGGCAAAAGGAATAATCCTACCAAATTTCAAGTCACTACGCTTTATGGTTCCAGAGATATCGTGATGAGTCAATATTTAGGTGAAAATCTCTTTTATATTAAATATATATAATATCTATTGAATAATTAATAGACTTAACACAAGGGTTTGCAAGACTCTTTCTAAATTAAAACATAAAAGGCTACTTAATCTTAATGATCTAAGCAGGAAGGTTATGTATGTAAAACATAATATTTAAATATTGGGCACGGCCACGCTATACCTTTATATAATATTTTTTGTGTACTGAAGGAGACATGTAATTAGTAGAAAGAAACTACAACTAACTAAAACCATAAAGTTTGATCTTTAGTAAGAAATTAAGCGTTGGTATAGTTATAAAATCTGTTGATTCATTAATAATATTATCTAGTATATTTCTTTTTTCTTAAAATGGGGGTTATCTACTTGTCCTTGACTTATTTGGGACTGTACAAATAATTATAAATGGTATTTCTGGTGTTCAGAGAGTGAGGCAGAATATTTATATTTTTGTTTAATATTTGTCTGGAAGTGACAAAGCACCGATACTTTTCCAAAATAGTCCGAGTGATTTTTTAATTTAAAATAAAGTGCCTCACGCTTCTCGTATAACGATCAATATTTATTCATGATAGATATGATAAAAAAATATTCTTAATTATTTTTGTATTTAGTCCTAATGTTTATATAACCCCAACGCAATACTTTTTATACTTAGAAATAATGTTTTAACCAAAAACTTCGGATTTGAATACTACTTACATATCAAAATAAGTATTTCACAGAAATTCTATAGTATTTACATAAAATAAAATAGAAACCTTTGAAATAAAAAGTGTTAAGAATGTTTAAAATCCCCTTTGTATGCATCGTTGCTGTTGCTGAGCATAGAAAATGTTCCTAAGTACAGTATATTCGTAGTAACAGTGAATCTAAGTATACGAAATTATTGCTTGAGTCAAAATAAAAAAATAAACAATTTTAAGATTTAAATTCGGAATTTATTTATGGCAACACTGAGTAGTGCCAAAGGCCAAAGCTGAACGACGCCAATAGCGCTATATCCGCTTTCCGGTTTGTCGCGTGTATGTAAACTGTCGTTGGTGAGCACATGCGTCGCTTGTAATAATTATTTTAAAGTTAAAGATATTAGGTAGAAGTTAACTAAATTGCATTGCTAGAAATAAGAAAGTGAAACTTCAACCCAAATAATTTGGTAAGTAGTAAAACAATATATATTTTAAGTACATAGTGTAGCTCTTATGGAGACGCCATTTTAGGCATATTCCCAAATTTTATTTTGAGTTTAGAAAGTGTATTAAAACATTATGAAAGTTCCAAAACATTTCTTGACGTGGTTTTTATCGTCACTATTTATTTTAAAGTACGTACAAAGTCCCAAGCCGTGTTGAATAGTAGTTTACCTCGTGGTGTAAAATGCCGCCATTCTATATTGGTGCGTATCTTAATTACATACGGCATTTGAAATAGCATCAAAATGTACACGTTTTATGTTTAAAATAACTTTGAAATTAATGTAACAACGCCTCTTTCAAATCCGCTAAATATTTAATTCGCACATCTTTATCAAGACGCATTAAATGATAAAAGTTCTATTATAAACGTGGCCGAACTTTCTAGAATTGTGTAACAATAGTATAATCGATATGTAATACAAATGTTTGTAACTATACAAATCAGTTGTTAATTTATACATAATGTAAATATTAAATCGATACAAATATTTCAAACTTGTTATACCGGCATATTGACAGTCATATAATTCTTTTAGCTACCAGTAAAATGGTTGGATCCCGGGTTTACGTTGGCGGGCTGCCCTTTGGTGTTAGAGAAAGAGACTTGGAGAAATTTTTTAAAGGTTTTGGAAGAATAAGAGACATCCTTATTAAGAACGGCTACGGTTTTGTGGTAAGTTATATCTTTTTTTACTTGTTCTATATACCTATCTGGGAAACACTAGTACAAGTTTTATTACAATTTTTGCAAATAATACAATTTGTGACTTGTTTTTGTTTAAAGGACGCTAAGATTTACTAAATTCAAAGAAAATATTGGAGGTTATTAAAATACATTTAATTAATTATTTGAATTCTCAGGAATTTGAAGACTACAGAGATGCCGATGATGCAGTCTATGAATTAAATGGAAAAGAATTGCTTGGTGAAAGGTAAGAATGCATGAGAATGCTTTAAATAGTGCATTATGATACCACATCTGTTAAGTAATCCTGATTACAAAGATAAAAACCGAATAAAAAATGTTAATGTAATTTTATAGTATTCATAATTACAATATTATGTTAATTATATGTAACGATAATCAGGATTGCATTTCAAAACATATAAAGTATACAACTTGTATATTATGTAATAGTTTTAACTCATTTTAATTGCCAGCCGGCTCCACTATGAATGAATTTTGATAATGTTTAAAAGGAGATATAAATGACTGGTTTGTGTAATGATAGGACTGAAAGAACTTGAATGGATATGCATTTATACAAGATGTGTATTGTATATTCTTTTAAAATTTCATTTAATTTTAAGCATTACATGAATTGATTGATAAGTTTTATCAAAATCTATATCTATCTCTTCATTATTTTGTGAAGATATAAAAAAAAAAACCTATACAAATCTCAACTACTTTTGAAAAACTATTTCACAAAGATATGGCTGAGAGTGTTGATATAACGTACCATCACTGTCAATATCACAATTTTAAAATAGTAAGAGTAATCTAAATTGTTGGGTAATTTCAATCTGGATGCGAGAAGCGAGAGTGAGATGATATTGTTCTGTTGGGACCCTCGATGTGTTCATATCATGGATACAGTAATTTGAGTGTGATGTGAGTGAGTTCCTACGGTATCGGGTTGTGTGTAAGCGTGTAAGTAATTATGCTCCAGGGTGGTGGTGGAGCCGGCGCGGGGCATCGACCGCAGCGCGGACCGCTACCGTCGCGACCGATACTACGAGCGCGACCGCGGCCGATCGAGATACGAGTGAGTTGTGTTGTAGGGTGACGGTGGAGCGGGCGAGGGGCGCGCCGCGGGGCAGCGACCGCTGGCGGCGGGACCAGCCGCGGCCCGCGCGACCGGCCGCGCACCAGTCTGTACACGCACACGCACACACACCTTCACACACGCATACACCCCCACAAACACACATACGCCTCCACAAACACACATACACCCCCACAAACACACACACACACATACACCTCCACAAACACACCACCACACATACACACCTCCATAAACACACCACCACACATACACACCTCCATAAACACACCACCACACATACACACCTCCACAAACACACAACACCTCCACAAACACCTCATACACCTCCACAAACACACACATACACACACACCTCCAAAAACACACACACACACCTCCACAAATACACATACACACACATACACCTCCATAAAACCACACTAATAAGGACCAAAAATTCAATTTCGATTATGGCCATACACTTTTTTTTATAAAAGTATCTATTAGAAAACTCATTTCTAATTGATATTCAAAATTGTAATTTGAAATTTCACTTTCAAAATTTCTTTCATGACAACGCATCAAGTTTCGGTCAATCCGATACAACACTAACTGTGAAATATTTTTCTTTTTGTTTTGGGTCCGATGCTATTTTATTTCCGACAACGACTGGTTATTCCCGACAATGAACTTATTGTGTAAGAAATCTTCCTTTATTTAAATAATACGATTTTTTCATATTTGGTGTCATTGGTGTTGTATGCTGTTAATTTTGGGGTACTTTCAAACTTGTGATATAAGAATCTAGTTACGGGTTCGATTCCCGTCAGTTTTAATGTATTATCCATTAAATTATTAATTACTCGTTAAACTTAAGAATGTTTAAATGATACATATTCTATTAATTTCTGATAGCCGTCACGTCACATAAACTGTTAAATGTAAAAGATAATTATAAAAAAATTACTAACTTAAACTAATTTCATGATCATTAAAGTAATAAGTTATTAACACTTGCTCCTATAAATCTTATGAAGTATATTTTTTTGATCTTGTAACTGGTTAAGGATGGAATTTTAAACAAATTAATTTTATCAAATAAAAGATGAGCATGGCTATAAACATCTTACTCTAATTACATATATGTATGTATGACACATACTGTAATATCAGACATGCTTTTATTAAATCTGGGGTTCAATAGATTGTTTTGAATTGATTATGGTCATTTTTTAACTATAACCATTATCAAACCTCTTAATAAAATCATCTTAAATCGCAACTAATAGGATTTGATATTTCTATATAATTAACACTCAGATTTTCCGCCCGCAGTGACTACAATTATAGATACGGGCCGCCGACGCGTACGGAGTATCGACTTATAGTTGAAAACCTATCCAGCCGCATTAGCTGGCAGGTAAGAGATTGAGACGAACTTCGATACACCATCATCCATCACTATCGAGGGGACGGAGGGCGGGTACGGGGCGTCATGTTGAGGGCAATGAGGCTATGGGATACTGGAGCTCTATGGCACACGGAGGACTAAAACCCATCGGATGGAAAGGATATACAAGGGAACAAGGGAAACGATACCACGGATGGATAAACAGAGGCAGAGGCGCGCGGATGGCAGATGAGTCTGATGATAGACGAAACGGAGAGACATGCGTACGAACCGAGACACCCTGTAACTAAACAAAAGCATTTAAAAACAATTGTCAATAAATTAGCTTACAGAAATTGCCTTTGTAAACTTAGTCTATTGAATTATATAATGTAACATTGCGAGCTTATAGATGGTTTTTAAATAACGACAGAAGGTGGCGTTTCGTGCCCAGAGCCCTTCCCCGATGTAGCCCGTGTCGTGTGCGATGGACGATGTTATGTAGTGGCGCTGGGAGCCGGCGCTCGCACAGGTAAAGTCGCCGGGCATTGCAGGAGACGACTCGATATGTGCAAATATCATTTTATTCATAGCTCACATTATTATTCCTAAGTTCCGCTCCCTACAGAAGAGACACCTCTCGCTGTTGTGGAGGCGTTTTTACAACTTTCCTTTCGGTGCCTAAACAGTTTTTCGTGGCCGGTTCTTCCTTAGTGGTATCATCGCTTTATCGATTTCGATAGGGTTGTCGTTGGGACGAGTCTCGTTTGGTTGCTGTCATGTCAGTCTGTTCGTTGAGCTGGTTGTAGGACGTTGGAAGGACTTCGTACCCTTTGGAGGAGATCGCGTTACCACGCTTCGGATTTTTAATAGACTTGAGAGAAGCCCTACTAGAACCTATTGAGCACGGAAATATTGGAGAATGAGAGATATATTTAAAACTCACTGAAACCAAATGAGATGAATGATACAATGCAGCCAGAGAACAAAAACCGAATCAGGATGATAAAAAACATGTCTGGAGAGATGAACTGTGATGATATCGATGAACACGTGGACTAAACATTACCTCTGTGTTGAAGTATGATGGAGCAGTCAGAGAAGAGATAAACGAATGTTCACTGTGATTATATGGAAAATACATAACAAATAGAAATTTGAAAATCTCGATGGAATTTGGCACGAAACGAAATGAAACTAACTTGATATTCGATGTTTCTGGGAACATTTGTCTTGTCAGGACAGCAGTTACAAATCCAATTTGCGATAATAAAGTTACCAATGGTTGACCGCTTACGAAATATCTGTATAGGCACAATCATGTTTATTTTTATTTCATAAGGTCTTTTCCATACGACATACTCACGAATATAGGTAGGGTGTAAAGTTTTTTTCTTGAAAGCTTTATCGTTTATGATGAAATCGTATTTTTTACCATCTTTCGGGGCTGAAGACCTTGATGATACAAAAATATCTGATAGAGCTTTTAGGAAAAAAATCATGTAAGTGGACCTGAGTAGATGTTAAGAGATTCTTTGATTTACAGGATTTGAAGGATTACATGCGTCAGGCTGGCGAAGTTACTTACGCGGATGCTCACAAACAACATAGAAACGAAGGGTAAGAAATAAGAATTAATTTCATATAAAACAATTTTAGTGTTTCTATTTCAGAAGTAATGTTTGAAAAATTTATTAAATGATAAATTCATTTTATTATCCAAAGATATCAGATTAGGTCACGAAAACATGTATGTCATTTGGACATCTATGTACATATTCATTGTAAGAATACTCGTGGTGTGTTATTTTTAACAAACTTTTTCTACTAGTCAATATAGAAAGAAAATAATAATCTCAGATATTTTTTTCAAAGAATCTAATTAACAAACTCTTTTTTATCCCTCAGTGTTGTAGAGTTCGCAACTCATTCAGACATGCGAGCGGCTATTGAGAAGTTGGACGGTACAGAGCTAAATGGACGGCGCGTCCGCTTGGTAGAGGACCGACGCTCATCACGACGCCGTAGTCGCTCCTCTTCTTCGAGAAGCCGATCCCGCTCACGAGACAGGCGCCGCTCACGATCCAGGTCACTAACGACACATGTAACACACAAGACATACATACAAGAAGTTCTCTATAATGATGATACTATATCTTTACCATCTTTCGGGGCTGATTACTCGTGAATGATATAACTTATACTGATGAAATTTTAAATATCAAGTAATTATTTTTATTTTGTTGTAATTTTGACTAAAATTATAAATAAAATTAGGTCTCGTTCCCGTGGTTCTCGCAGCCGCTCCAAGTCCAAGTCTCGTCCAAAGAGCAAGAGCCCAGCTGCCAAGTCTCATTCGAGATCTCGCTCCAAGTAAGTAAAAACTCAATATTTGTCAATATAATTAAGACACCAATGTTGTTGTCCACATAATGTAATTTGATTTATTTGATATATCCCTAATCATTTTATTGGAATTTAGTAGATGTATTTTAATATTGCATGATCTTTAAATAACCTAGTGTTCATTTGGCTAGGTGTGTTATAACATGCGCTGAGCAAAACTTAAAATCGTAAGTAAAAACAGAATATGGAGCCGTACTTTATTATAGTTTCATAATTATAATGTCTGAGAATCAAAATGATGTCTATTACTATAAAAAAAAGGTCCCTATATATATATGTATTACCAAAACTGTTGAACAACTTGTGCAAACTGTTGGTTTACTGTCAACTATTATACTGTATTATTTAGTGATCTGTTCCATTAACACAGTTCGCATCGTCATACTACAAAAGAAACGTTTCTAGTTTTTTCATTCATGCCATATTGCATTTGATATAAACACCAGTTTAAAAATAAAGATCAGGTTACATGAGTAAGTGTGACAATGCAAACTCGTCGGTGAGATGCAGATTGTTTTAAATGATAACCTTAATGTGTTTCTCAGAGACCGCAGCCGTTCCAGATCTGCTTCCCGCAAATCTGAACGTGGGTCGGCGTCACGTCCGTCCCGTGAACGATCCGCCGGGCGGAAGTCCGCAGAGCGAAACGGAAGATCCGCATCGCGATCCAAGTCTCGCTCACCCATGGATGATAAGTAAGTACACGACCAACATACATACTAGCAATTGAGAAGAATATATCTCACATTCAACTCTAAATAAGAATACCATGTAATATTGCTACAATTAGTTTAACAATTATCATTTCTCTACTATCTACTAACCTTTACTTATTTTCCTGCTACCGAAGAGAGACTGCTGCGAAAGCTAGGTGAGAACTGTGCTTTTCCTAATTTCTAGCCTTCCAATATTACTATAGTAATATTCTTATAACTATATTAATTTTATCAGGGAGCGATCTCGTTCACGCAGCAAGGAAGCTGGATCACCCAAACGAGAAGAGGAGCGTCGTGAGAGTAAGTCTCGTTCACGGTCTCGCTCCCGGTCTGGGTCTCGCGAGAGGTCCGTCTCCCGCGAGCGGTCACGCTCCGCCTCGCCCCGGCAGAACGGAGACGAGCGGGCCGCCGACGAGCGCTCCCCGCGCAGCGGAGACTGAGGGGGGGGTAATAGGGTAAAATGTGACGCGGGAGGGGGGAGGTCATCTTAGTTTGGACGGACGGGTACATGGCAAAGAAAAGTCGTCAAAAAGTGTAAGTCTGAGGGATACATCCGAGCCCGCGTCATTTGTTTTTTCTAATTAGATGTATGTTTTAGTATAATATGATCTCGTAAACTTTCGTTGTAGTTCCAAATGAGAGTTTGACGGAAACTATTCATATTATAGTATGTGATTTAGTTTTTGTACAACATCCGTTTATCGTTCTAGCCTCGAGGTCATGTTTATAGAATCAAATTGACAAACATTTTTTATTAGAATGTAAATTATAAATTGTCATTGTGGGCTAGTGAAGTGTATTTTTAAAGAGTATATTTCTTTATTAAGTTGAAGATGGTCATTGATATGCACATGGATGTTTTTAATGTCAGTTTTCAGCCAACTCTATGTAAACAGATGTAAAATTATTATTAAGTAATGTTTCTGTGTGCAGTTTAACCTTCTATTTATGATATAGATGGAGGGTTTTAAGAATTGTAATATTTGATAGAATTTTTCTTGTAATTGTAAAATTACAATAGTACATTTACCGTGTGTAGGTAATTTAAATGAAATTTCATTGACACCCTATTCAAATAGGCTAAGGTATTTTGTAAATACTGATTGTTTTAAGGCACCAAATAATAAATAATTAAGTTGGAGCATTTTTATTATTTTCCCCTGTAATATTTTTCTGAAATTAATATTTTATTGTATTTTCCTTTTCATCTGCCAACCTTTACAAAGTAAATAAGAAACTTCTATTTTATATATTATAAGTAGCATTCATTTATAAAAATAGTTATACATTTTCTGTTTCTCTTAGACGGCTATTAATATTTTGAAAAATCTTTTTACATATGAGTAAGTAGTGTGTTACATTTGTTTGCAGTACAAGGAAAAAGCCCTGTATATGAACTACTTTCCATTTTCTAAGAAGAAAACATTTAGTAGATTCGTTTGAAACCTTAACTTCAGTATATGAATGAGACTTGGACCGTAGTAACTTTGGGATGAGTTTATTGACTAAGATAGAATTGAATGAAGCCAACCGACAACGCCATATCTGTGACACAACTTTGATTTTACGAGGTTTGCCAGGTTTTATATCGCAATGTATTGATTTCATTGCTTAACGTTCATATATTCTTCCGGAATGCCATTATATTATCTGGATAATTTTTATTTTAAGCAAGAATCAGAACTTAAATCATTAAATGTACAATCAATTAAACTTTAATGTAATAGTCCGGTCAATTTATACATTCGAAGTTACATAAAGTCCCAACAAGCTGAATTTTTATGAAATTGTTCAAAACATAATTATAAACGCTGTCTAGAAGGTCCCCATTATTCCCCTGTAAGGAAAAAAAAAATACTCAAGGTCTAAGGTCAATAAAATGAGTTAAGCAAAATGGTAAGTTTTATCATAAAATTGTAGATCTTAAAATTATCTATAAAAAATGTTTCAATATATTTTTCTTACGAGCCACCGTTTCTGAGATATAATGATTCAAAAAGTTATAAAAGTTGTTATCGTCATAATATGCGTGAGTACGCTACGTATAAACATCTAGAGTTGTTATATTTTATATACATAATATATATAATAGTCAGCTGATTCGACGCCGAAAAACAGGATTTTCTTTCACTCTCTTCATTTGAATTCTCTACAAAACAAGCACAGGTCTTTGAAACAAAAAGCTGATTCACTGATATGTGAAGTAGTACGAGGAGGACTTGCTGTGGATGTACTGGCTTCTTGTTCTTCACGTTGTCTTTTATTAGCTCCAGCAATACAAAACTTTCGAGTATAATTTTTACGGCAATTTTCATATATTGTCACAGATTTCTGATTTTTGAGATATTCCGAAAATCATCAGCTCATTCGATACTTGCATTAATTAATAAAACGCTCAACAGAAAAAACTTCACTTTCACTTAAAAGTTTAGCACAAAACAATATTTATATATATAAATCATCTTAAATTCTAGTTAAGTGTATTATATATCATTGTTGACTTTCAAATACAGTAGGACCCCGATTATCCGGACCTCGGTTATCCGAATTCGCGATTATCCGGACTGCCAATCGCGACGAGTTTATTCTAACACTAGCTTTTGCCGCGACTTCGTCCGCGTGGAATAGTGACTTCCGGCAGATTTTTGGTTCTTCCCACATAGTTCACATTCTTGCGGGGTTTTCGGAATGATCGAGTTCCCGTAGAATTTTCAGAATAAAACCTACGTTTTTTTTATTCACAATGAAGTACTCTTAATTAACAACATATTTATTTGTTTATTGGAATAAAGATTAATATTACATATTATGTTGATACAACTTAAATTATTTCGACCAAATTAGGTACCATAAAAACGGTTTTTGTGAGTTAATCTTAAAAGATAGACATATACTGTCGCGGACTGTTTTTTAGATCATTAAAAGAGCTATTATTCTTTAACACATATTTTTTGTGTATCTTGAACCGTTTTCACGGCGCACCCAACGGAAGGCTTCAAAGATGAAATAATTTCTCCCGTTTTTTACACATTTACCACTATATCTTTGGTCCTATTGGTCGTAGCGTGATGTTATATAGCCCAAAGCCTTCCTCAATAACTGGACTATCCAACACAAAAATAATTATTCAATTCGAACCAGTAGTTTCGGAGATTAGCGCTTTCAAACAAACAAACAAACTCTTCAGCTTTATAATATTAGTATAGATTAACATGTCAGAACTTGCATAACGCCACGCCACTTATAACACTTATACGTACATTATGTACAATTTCTTAATAAACGTTGATTTTCGCTCATATGTATTTGTTGTTTTAAATAAACACCTCACATTACATATGTATGGGATAGACTACATATGTACATATGCAAAAAGGCCGTTTTTCTTCATATATTGGATTATCCGGACTTTCAATTATCCGGATGCCTACCGACAACAATTAGTCCGGATAATCGAGGTCCTACTGTATAAAATAAGTTGAAAGAGAAATCTGAAAATTATTCCGTAATATATTATTTACAATTTAAAGATTCAAAAGTAACGAGACTGCTCTTTAATTCTTAAATGTAAGTAAAATTTTAGTTATTTTCTGTTACAGACAAACTAAATAATCAAATGTATTTCCATAATATTACTAACTCGAATGCACCAAACTTACACTAGCATATTTTTTTAATGAAGAACGACTTGTATAGTAGGCCAGTGCAGATACCTCTAAACATGATGAAAAGTGAAAATAAATTAGGTATAGTAGAATGAAACCCATTAGAAAAGGAGGGGAATTTTAAAAAAATTAAGGGAAAAATAATTTATGGGCGATTTGAGGTCGGGAAGGGTATGGGGATGGGTATTTAAGGGTAAAAAATGGGTTTTCTCGATTTCCGGAAAAACTAAGAGTCCTAATGAAACATGTTATAACTTATATGGCAAAATTGTAGGTAATAAAAAGATCTAAAACTTTTGTATTTAGGTATACTTTTTTCACATAACCTGAAAAGTTATGTGATAAATTCGAAAAACCAAGTTTTTGTTTTTTTTTCTTATCTCTTACAAAAAACAATATTTTGTCACGAAATTTTGTGAAAACTTTCCTTTTGATGTTACAAATGCACTGTAATTTATTTGATTAGAAATATTTATTTTTTCAGCTTATTTTGAATAAATACCGAAAAATTAGCCTCATTTTTAATCGAAAAATCACCCGTCAAAATATCAGCTTTTTTAAAAAAAAAAAATACGTTTTCTGTTTGTTGAAATCTCTTTTTTCCGATGGCGAAGAAAAAAATATAAATTTCTTACTTGCAGTACCATTTTTGGATAAAATAATCATGTCCCTTTTTAATTTATTTTTAATAGTTGTGTACTCTGGAAGTTCTCTAGATAGTCCCTCTTTTAGGTAATTCACAGAAAATTTATATTAAGCTGCTAAAACTATTAAAAATAAATTGAAAGAGTTACCAAAAACCCATTTTTTACCTTTAAATACCCATCCCCATACCCTTCCCGACCTCAAATCGCCCGTAAATTATTTTTCCTTTACATTTTATAATATTCCCCTCCTTTTCTAATGAGTTTCATTCTACTGTAATTGAATTATGTTTTAAAAGCTATCGGCACTGGTCTATAGTGTGGATATGAAATAATATATTTTACATGACAATATAAAATAATAAAGTTCTCAAAAACTTTCTGATGATAAAATTAAAATTTAGTAGGTATGTATATTAACTTTTGTTTAGTCGACGATTAATTAAATCAAACATGATTTTAGTTAATCTTTTGCTATTCTCAAATAATTGTAGTTCTTAATATTAAATTAAAACTTGCTAATTTTTTTTAGAACATATTATTATAAGTAATACAAGTTTTGTAAAAGCAAAAGAATTCACGTACCTACATTGAACGAACGTAAGTACATTTGTTAATTACTTGAAGTATTTTTAATTAAAATTGTTAACGTAGTCGAACGTTCGGTTTATTTACGACTGTACTGTCATAATAATAAGAATAATTTTCTCCTAAATTTCTTTGTTGCTACACTTTAAGGTTAATGCCGTAAAGGAAACTATTATCATTATAACTTATTGAGAAGGAAGTGAAGGAAAAACATGTTTGATTAAAAAAATACTTAACAATTTTATGTTTATAAAAGCTTTAGAGTGTAACTAATTGAAAATTACTTAAATTTTTACAAGTATTTTAAACTTAATAAAATATTTTGGTTATTTTACTTCGTATGAAAGCCAATACAAATTATAGTCATGTCTTTAAGTAGGAAATAATTGCTGATATTTATTAATGGAAGTTCTAAGAAGTTAATGTCATTAATCAGAACAAAAGCTGTCCGAGAACATTGCTAGATCATAGAAAAATGTTTGTCAGGAATGTATCGAGGTTGTTAAAAGGTAAGTGGATCAGGTCCATAAGACAACTAATAAATAAAATGGTTCTTTAATCTTTTGTAAACAATTGTTTATTAACATTTTATTTCTCCTTGCATCGCAGCACATTACACAAACACTCGCCGGCAAAGTTATCACGGCATTAGCTTACAATGACTTTATTAATCGTGATAGGATCTATGGAATTATTAGTTATGCTCGCCGCTTACATCGGAATGCTTTCATTTTTCTTTTAAGTTGAGCTGAAATGTGAATATACCAAAAGTAAACACAAAGCACAACAACCTTTGTACTTCGACTAACTAAGGAGCAAATATCATAATTAAGAAAATATATAATCACTTTCGTTTGCATGCAAAATAAACATAGAAAAATAGTAGCGATAAAATACAATTATTTTTTAAAGATAGATTTAAACTTATGAGAAAATGGAATGATTTATTATTTTCTTTCAGTATACTCACACTTTTTAAATGCATTCGTGATTCTCATAAAAATACGTCCAAAATACAAATCAAGAAGTCAATTTAGCTTCAGTCAATTGTAAACGAAGTTCAAAAACATTATAAGACAATGATTTTCAATAATTATATTAATTATATAATAATAGCAATGATATTTTCGAATAAATAAATTAAAAATACTGTCATTTTATTGGTTCGGGACGATCAGTTATAGGCGTATATCATTAAAAAAAATATCCCAAAAAGAAAAATGAAAGTGACACAACTGTGATCAATTTAAATATCCTACATACATATAATGTTACTTCGGTAATGTTTCCTATTTTGACATAATTTAATCTTACATTTTTGTCATCTTACAAAATTAAATACAAGAACATTAATTATTTATTGATCATCAGTCTATTCATATTTGATATTTTACAATTTCGTCGATCTAACAATCATTAAATCATCGTACAAAAGGCAACATAAGAGGTAACGCGCCTTATTAAATATTATCTACAAAATGTATCATAAAACTGTAATTTAATATAAATCATTTGACAGGCGTTTCGCGACGGCCCGCCTCAGATTGGAGTGAATCTGAAGCCAGCCGTGGACGAATCTCATACGATAGCGGCAAAACCGACATTATTATAATAAATAAGTTAAAAACAACCTGCAATATTAAGTCCTATGTTGCCTGATGACGTCAGTATTGTCACAGTAGACTTACGACAGTAATGGAGAATATACTTAAAACACTAAAACTTAATAGTTTTTATACACAATGACTTAGGTTTCGACATTTGTTTCTTATAAGTACACAAATTATTTTAACCTATGGACTAATTACGTGCGCTGTGTTAATTATTGTGAGATCCGAGCGACATCTGTGGGGGCGTTACGATGACGCGCGGATCAAGGAACAATGTTCAATCTACATTCAAGATATAACAGAAGTGAGATTAGTAAAAAATCTATGTCAATTTTCAAGAAAACCGCAACATGATTTTTACTTTCTAATTAACAATCATAATCATAGGAACAATGACAATAATTACTCAATCACAAATATAATCAATGTAAAAAAAAATGGCGGACGAATATCCGCGTATTTATATAAATTAATCTAAAACATGACGCACGGTTTGGTTCATACAGGTGCGAAACAAACGGGACAGGGTTCGGAAATAGATCGGATACTGACCGTACTCATGGAGAGAGAAGAAAGATAAAGAAAGACAAGGAAAGAAAGAGAGATAGATAGGATATTGATAGGTATGTCAGCACGACTGTCACGCGACGGACCGACTCGCGCGACAGTCTCGTCTCGTTACCTACAGAGATCGCAGACGTGGACGAGTCCACTACCCTCAGCAAGCGCGGTCCTCGCCCTCAACCTAACATCGACCCTAACACCACACGATAGAGTCCACTCTCCGATCAGTCGCGGCGGCGGTGCGGGCGACGCTTGCCGATAGTCGGCGGTCCGGACCACCGTCACTATATACAGGGCGTCCGGACCGCTAATAAATATATCCAAATAATTACATCTAGCCGTCTATACAGGGGTCATTATACAGGTTACTCTATATGTACAAGCGGCGCACAGCCTTCATCGCACGAGCGTCCGTACTCAATAAATAATTTAATGTCCATCGCGCACTTTAACACTACACTTGCGTCGCGAACGTCGGCGGCAGGCAGTGGTCGTCTAACACGTACACCCCTCCGCCCTCCAGGGCGCGCTTCACGAGGGAGGTGTCGCTGTAACAATGGAAAATATACTTATTATTACAAAACTCTTCTGTTAATTTTATTCGAAAGAGCATGAAAGTTCTACATGAATAATATATGAATAGATGAGTATCGATGTATACCTGTTAGCGCAGTACGCGGAGTCCGCGGACAGTCGTGATAGTCGCGGGTCGAGCGCCGCCAGTAGTCTGGCCGCGCTCTCCGTGTTCAGAGTCTTCCTCTTACACTCCTCGGCGGCCGCGTTGTGCGCGTTCTGACACTCGGGGGCGGGCGCCTCACACTTCCCCCACGTGTTCCGTATCACTCGTCCTCCTCCCCCCGAGTTGGCCGCGTTCTGTGCCCGCGCCTCCGCGTCCGCTGCGTTCTGTGCTCGCTTCCTTCTTCTCCGGATGCAGGCGACCGCCACAGCCGCCGCGAGGGCTGCGGCCGGCACCGCGGCAGACAGCGCCGCTATCAGCGCCACGTGCCGCCCGGACAGACTCTCCTCGGGCGTCTCGTCTCCTATCCTCCTCAGGTGCCCGCCCGCAGGTTTGGCCGCGAAGTCCGCCAGCGACACCGTACACGCCTTCCCGCCCCAGCCCGCCGGACAGTTGCAGTGGTAGCCGTCGACTCTGTCCCTGCAGGTGCCGCCGTTCCTGCAGGGCGAGGAGGCGCACTCGTCTACGTCTATGCTGCAGTCCTTCCCGGCGAACCCCGGCCGGCAGTGACACTCGTAGTCGTTGTCCAGTACGTGACACTTGCCGCCGTTAGCGCAGGGCTTCGCGAGGCAGAAGTCGACCCGCGTCTCGCACCTCGGCCCGAGGAAGCCCGGCGCGCACTGGCACCGCTGACCGTTGACGAGGTCCACGCACGTCCCGCCGTGCTCACACACGATGCCCGTGCAGTCGTCTATGTTTATCTCGCACCTGTTCCCTCTGAACCCCGTCTTACACGAACATCTGAATCCATCTCCAGCTCGGTTGCACGTGGCTCCGTTTCTACACGGGTTGACGGCGCACGGGTCGGCCTCTACGGCGCAGTCCAGGCCGGTGTAACCCGCGGGACACAGACACACGTAGCCGGACGCTCTAGGCTCGCAGGTTCCTCCATTTCTACAAGGTTGATCGGCACAAGTCAGTCTTCTCGTTTCACAATGAGCTCCTTCATATCCCGAGGGACAAGCGCACGATAGTTCCCCTCCTTCATCAGGTACACAGGCTCCTCCGTTGAGACAGGCTCGTACAGCACACGAGTGTAGTGATTTCTCACAGTCCGGTCCGGTGTATTCTTCGGAGCAGACGCAGGTGTAACTTCCTTGTCCCGTATTGTGACAGGTGCCGCCGTTCTTGCACGGCCTGTGATTGGTGCAGTAGTTCAAGTCTTGATTGCAGAACAACCCGCCCCAGCCCTCCTCGCATATGCAGTCCCAGGGCTTGGAGCATGTTCCGTGCACGCAGCCCGGATGTCGCTCGCACTGGTCGCACAGCTCGCCCACCCAGCCCGAATGACAACTGAAATTAAACAAAGAGCAGTCAGTAAAGTATACGACGTGATAACAAGCGACTAAAAGGCATGTCAGGATAAAGGGACGCATGATCCGAGCGAGCGAACGTTTAGCGTTAAGGTGTGAACTCACATGCATTCGTCGGGCTTGAGGCAGTGGCCGTGCTCCGAGTCGCAGCCGGGCAAACATCTCGCTGTAACAAAAGAAACGGATCTGTTAGCATGACAAAATTAATTGAGTTATCATAAATTAGGAGTACGTATCGATGTGAAATAAAGTTCCTAGAGGCGGATTCGTATGAGCTCGGAATCTATGAAGAATCGCAAAGGACACGGCTACAAAGAGAGAGGTTCGTTAGACTCGGGTAGGGGGCGAGGTCAGTCTCACCGATCATTTATCTCAGACTACAACGATACAACCTTACGACCGTACCGAAAGATCATATACAAACTTTATTACACGAATTAATATTTTTTATTACGTGATACAGCGTTCCTAGATCATAAATGCGTTTTGTGCGATATAGATTTATTTCGCAATGGCACATTCACGGCGCATTCTTAAAGTTAATATTTTATTCGGACGTGATGTATTACAAACGTAATATGTGGCCATCGTTAACCGTGTGATTTACGCTCCGTACTCAGCGAACCTTACCCGGTTCTTGTAATAATACAAAATGAAAATGTAATTGAAGCATTTCGAATTTACGCGTGCATTGCGGTTTGAATATAGACAGGGCTGTTTGCAATAAAAGGTGAAGAAGTAATGGCGTAGCGGGCGTCGTAAAAAATAGTGTTTTGTAATGAGAAGTGCGCGGAGTCGTATCGCTCCGTTGCGCATGGGCAAGTTATCGGAGCGAATACAAAGGGGGCAGATAGCGCGGGGAGTATAACCGTCGCTCGACCGTTGCTAGTCCCCTAACTCGCTAGAAAAATACTAAGACGCCATTTTGTTTAATACATTTAACATATAGATGCATGCTACCGAAATAATAAACGCATATCTGAATCTGAACTAGGAAACGGCTTTAGAATGAGGTATGTCTACGGATTGCCGAGCTCCGGGGTAACATAAAGGAGATTACTTCCCCGCCGCTAGACTTTAATATAGATTTAACCGGCTGAGAACTAAGCCCCGAAATCTCTATGGAGTCTGGGCGTTCGCAAATCCTCTTACGAATAACTCCGGCAAATTGGCAATGTTTATTTTGAGCATATTAGTGAAGCCGTTTTGCGGTTGCAATTAATTTCAATCGCTATTATGAAATGTTTGCTTAATTTTAATATATAAAATATTATTCTTTGAAATATATTTATAGATTTTTGTCGGTAAGAATTAAGCGTGTTCTTAAGCGGCTTTCAGTACTTCGAGTGTCGGTTCCATTGCTCTTTGCACTATCCACTTCATGTTCATGACCTACTCGAAATCTCTTATCGTAACCCTTGAATAGTAAAACGGGAGCCGTAAAAAGTTCCCTTGATACATTAAGTGTACGCGCTATATATGTTACCGGTTGGTGTTTTAATTACTAATGTATACGGTGGTATTGATTTCTAACACAAGTGCTGGCGCGCCGTCCGCCAAGGTCTATCGAAACAGTCTTCGCCCGAGGTCAGGTAAACAGCCTTCCCTGAGGATGCTGCACGTGTTTGGGATCGAGCAAATATTTAACTGTTCCATCTGTTTCTATTGGTAACGGAAATTGGTTGCGCGTGGGATTCGCGATGAACAGAAGGTAATATTCGTGAGAACTGTACAATCGATAACAATTAGGCGAAATTAAGCGGCCATAAAGGATTTCTCTCCTCATATTTACCCTATCATTAAGAAGCTGGAGTGGAGCGGTTGAGATAATATTGTCGGGACATGCAAATAAGTTTTCGAGTTTCTTAAGCTTCCCAGAAGGCGAGATACCGTTTGGCAGATGTGAGCCAAGTCTCATGACACGGTCAAGTACTCAGTTTATTTCGACTGGTGTTCGTTTCTCGCTTAAAGGTGTTTTTGACCCGGTTCATGGCGCCTGTGTGTGTACGAACAGTGTATGTGTGAGTGCAAATGTATAACGTTGTTTTTATTTAATCACCGATGCTTCTATTGCTCAAGATATCATATTTTATTATTGATAATTTCCATTTAATATTTACATTACACACAATATATTTAAGTTAAACCAAAACTCTCCCACGAGTACAATAAATTTGACTAGTATAAATAGTTGACATTCTCAAGTTTACTTTCACCAGAAAATTGTGATTTCGTGGTTATATAGTTGCGTGGTACCAGGGTATCATAGGTATTAGGTAGTGAGCGGATCTGGTCTGTGGTGCGAGAGGGACGGGGCTCTACGGCAGCGGTGCTGCGTCTCTTTCCCTCGTTTGTTTTTTTGCGGCGCCGGAGTGTGGGAACGCGGCGGCAGGTGGGGCTGCCGAGATTGCGACGCGACATCCGTCCGCCACAATGCATCTTGGAGCGCATTTTGTTTTACAATACAAGACGCGATCCCGACTAACGTCACTAATAACGTTCTGACGTTCGGCTCGAGTTCTCATACATCAACCATTCATGTTTTAGTTACATTTAATTTCATTATCATCAGGTGACGGTACTTTCTATTTCGATTTCTAAATATTATTGTATGAATATATATTTTTTGTGACAACAAAGGAAAGCGCATTGATTGCCGTCGCTAATGACGAGACGCATTCTTCATTGCTTTTATTTACAAATCCGGCGGCATTCAAAGACCACACTGTAGACGGTCACACGCTTCGGCTATGAGAAGCTACGACACAATATTACCTTTCGATATTAAATAAGTACGTAAATCAAATGATAGGTATATACAGTTAACAAACTGAACAATATAATTAAAGCATAAAGTATGTAAACTTCATTAATTATAATATATATTGTTTAATCGCGATCGTTGGACTATAAAATAAATTTTTGACGTACATTAATTTTGGCGTTTCAGTTAACACGCGGCAATAAACATTAATGATGGATGAAGCTACATCTAGAATTATATTTGAAGCAACGACCCGAGGATCGTAAGAAAAAATATATCAATTATATAACAAAAAATTAACGAGATGTGAAAAAACAAAGACAATTAGACATAAAAATTGTGAACGAGTATGTAATATTTGAAATATTATTTACATAATTCAGTGGAAGACAAGTAGGTTTAAGGTTTTTAACCTCGGTGGAATTAATGAATAGTTTGGTGACTGAGGTCGTGAACTTCTTGATTAATATTTAATTTAAACGAAAAACGCGTAAACAGCGCAATTTGTTCTACAAAAACAGGGAAATTGCTCCCTTGACCGGGTTGACTCATCGAAAATGAGGTTAGAAAGCATTAGCGTTTGGAATGAAAGGTCACGTTTAAATTAGTTTCATGAGAGGATGTTCGACCGAAATTGTCATCGTAACCCTTTAATGAGGATGAGTGAATTGTGAAACGCTAATTATAATTAAACGTGCTTTGGCTCTGTTTTATGTAATACGTACGTTTAGAGCAATAATCCCCGGTCCAGCCCGGCTTGCAGACGATTTCTCCGGTGGATGAGCATGTGTAGTGTCCGAAGGAATCATCCCTCGGCCGGCAGAGCACCTCGCAGCCTGGCCCGTAGTAATGCGGTGAACACGTCACTCTGTACGACAGCTTCAGATGAACCCCACTCATTCCCCCCCAGCGCTGTTCCTCATCGTTCCACGGACCTCCGACATCAGCTATACTCTGCTTCGTCATCCGCGCGATCAATGTATCTGTAACAATAACACTATTAGTAAACAAAACACAAACGCTAATGATTCCGAGATCTGGGAAGGATAAGGTCTTAATTCGATAAATAAGAGGCAGTCTGTTTATCAGCGTGGGAAAGGCTGTGGAAGCAAATTGACCTGTTACTGTGGGCCGTTTGAATGCGGGCGTCAAACGTGAGATTGCATTGTTCCCGAGCGTGATTCACTGTTTTGGTTTGTTGGCGCCCAATTGATTGATTAAGAGTTTTAACCGCGTTCTTGTAGCACGTTAACTAGACGCGTTCCTACGACGCTGTTAGGGCATTGTATTAAATGGGTATCGTTTATGAAATAACAAAAAAATAGTTATGGAACTGCTGCACTGATTTAATAAAAACTGCCAATCCATTCATCAAAGCGATGCCAGCTCTGAGACAGGCCGCCGAGGAACCTCAGCTCCGACCAGTTCCTTTATTTATTTCCCTTCGTGTATCAACTTTTTACTCTTTTTGCTACGCTCGACGTTAAATTCCTAAGCCGGTAATCCCGACAGCAGATAAAATTAAACCAGACGCGAAACAAAATTAAAAGGTACATAAAAACGTTCGATCCCAACTAATTTCGTGGCGTATGGCATTTGATTACTGACATTATTTCTCTGTTATTCCGTGGAGCGTTAAACGATAGAAGTAAACGAGCTGTCACGTACAAGTATTCATTCAGAGGTAATATGGTGTATTGATATATTATAATTTTATTTGGAACTAGGTTTCCGTAAACATGATGTTCATGTAATCTTTAGAAGCTGATGAATCGTATTGCAGAACGGGAATGTATTATAACACTTTACACAACCAACGAAAGCTTACACCGATCGCGTCTGTGCAATAAATTTTGTAGATAAAACGGCTCGCCCAACGAAAATATAATAAATATCAATAAATTCAATCCGCGATCGATACGAATAGAAAACTTAAATCGTTTTACAGCGGACGATCCCGGTCATACAGACGGAACGCTTGATATAGAAACAGAATAACTTCAGCCTTACAAGGCTTGTCAGTAATTTCAGTTGTAATATGATAGGTTTATTACAATGAAGCGTTATTAAAGCGGAGTGCAGAGTTCGGAGAGAATTAGAAAAATGATGTGTGGGAACGGAAAGCGAGCGCTGTGCAATTTTGCTCGAATGTGCGCAGAAAATTATGGCAACCGTGCGATGGTAAAGTGCACTAGGGTTGCTGCTCCTGTGATATATGACTATTGTTCAACTATGGCTAGCTCACCCGAGCTCCGTCAGGTTTATAACCTTATTTATATGAAAACGTAAATTCCTTTTAAACTCACATAATCCCATGCAAAGTAATTCGTATGAAAATTACTCGACGCTTTTTTATTCAAGCCGTTATCCGAAGCTACGGATCGCACGAATTACACTCATTATAGGAAATTATTGTCGAAAATATATTAAATGAAGGTGTATCCTAGTACATTAATGTAGTACCAATTTATAAATAACACATTTAAAAGAGAACTCGTCAGACGTCGGTACGTGCCGACTGACTACTCATAACATGTAATTACGGACCCAGAGGTCATACAAATAAAACAAAAACTTATACCCGATATAAACAAAGGAAAGCGAAATAACAGATAATTTGAGCGGGTCTATAACGGAGGCGATTTAGTATACATTAAATGAGAAGGGCTGTGGAACATTGGCGATTTGATCACGCGAACAAGCTTCTGATAATAATCGATCAATCAATAGGCCGGATGTACAAGAACTAGACTGACGGTGGTCTAACAGAACTTCAATGAAACTGTAACCGTGTAGTCTTGTTGGCGAAACGTCCACGTCTTAATATGTAGTTCGGCCACCTGACAAACCGGCCCGTTAGCGTTGTGGGAAACATCATCTCATGAATGGTCTGTACACAAACGACGCACTCCTTCTGTTTATAAAACTGTCCACTTCTAATGTTCACGACGTGTATTTCAATTTGAGTGGTTCTCCTAATATAAACAATCCGACGATTCCGTGTAAGCTTTCGAGAGTTTAAGCTCTCTCGCTCAATTTGACAGTTCAATACTCGAAAACGTTCGCCGCTTGTGATGTTTCGCACCGAATTTCATCAACCATTGTATTTATAATGAACCCGATGTATATACACGCAGATTTCGTTATAATATTATTCCAACAGTCGCTAAACATTTACAATCGGTGATAGATTCGTATTTCCTTACAGAGATCGCTTAGAACTCACCCGTTAGTGGTCCATATCACGTTAGATAAGAGCGCGTCACAACATAACAGTATCATAACCGCTTGTTACTGAGCAGCCAGCGGCAAGTTGCTCCGGCCCAGACACGTAATTGCTATACAAATCTGTTATCACTCTCTTTTCACACGCTCTTATTCCTGTTTCGACAAGAGGTGTAAATAGAGACAGTGCAATAATTGTAAACTAAGTTATTCGATAAACAAAAGTCGATAGGACACGGTGCTAAGCTATTATCTGGAGGGCATGTGTTGAGCATCTGTCGATAGCGTTTCCCGGGCTGCTAGCGCCTGTTCATATCATAAATTGAGCCTTCCGGGACCGTCTTCCGTGATTTTTTACCATCGAAACGACGAAAGATGGAGAGTAAACTTAAAATCGGGCAAGTTTTTTGGTATCGAGTAAACAATGCCGTTAGTGTGAACCAGGTGCGGCTCGAAGCCTCGGGCGACACAAAAGATTTCGGTGAAGGAACCTCTACGTCACAATCGCGGGGACCATTGTCGAAGGTTTATTTGTTTAAGATGATTCCACTAAACACATTGTTGGGATCCGTATTCTGTAATGAATTCCTTGCTATCTATCATACGTTATGTCGTTTAGATACGCTGTGTATTTAAATAAATAAAGGCAGATGTTATGTATGAGCATCTAAGGTGATTTAATTAAACATTAGCCCAATGGGTGTATGGACGTGCATCTAACCTGTTATTATGCTTGATTAGATTTCTGTTTGTAACATTTCTTGGTAGTTGCGCCGCCCATCGCTCCCGACGTATTAAAAATATACTCGTCCTCTTAAACTATCCACTCCGGACGCTAATGATTTTCGGTAAACCGGACTTTAGAGCGACTCCTCCTATCTTTAAATCTTTTTAAGTAAATCACGTGTGTTTTTTTTTACTTCGTTATTCGGTCAGGAGTTATAATTATGACGGTCAGAGTGCGGGATGAAAAACTAATTAAGATTTGGGCGTAGCCATTCGGTTTGAGTCTAGACTCGTATAATATAGGATCGATACATTGTATACAATATTCCAATCGATATGAAAGTCCTCGATTTATAATCCACGCAGCGTATTATTATGATGATGTATTTATGATAGGTATTTCGGTTACAATTCATTTGGAGTCGTATTTTTGGGTCACGCCATGTCGCATGCCGGCCGTAAAGCTGTCGATAATTCCGACCGCTCAAATTCGTGATATCGTCAAATGTGATCACCCGAACATACATACATCTATTGTTTATGAATCAATATAGGTGTGTTGTGTTCGCATAATCATAATCTGTGAACAGTTTCGTCCAATCGTAGGTCATTGTCCATTGAATACATTAGAACATTTCTACTAAATTTTCGTCCTAGAAGGCTCTTTATTAGAATACGTTGTTCATTGCGAGGCTGATCACGCGCGACTCGGCCGTGTCTTGAACGTCAATCGTGTACGCCATGGGAACATTTTTGTGTTCCACGATATGATAATATAAGCATTCAAATATACATATTGTCCGTTAAACGCACGATAAACACCCAGAATTACAGTGAAATCTGAATGTGAGCGACTCCTCGCTTACGTGATGGGAATATTACAAAAAATATATAATAATTAAATATAGGGGTTGTGTTCACTTACCGTCCGATCTTGACGTATCATTAGTGTCGTGCCACGCTTCGACAATGAGAGAGAATGTGCCCTGGAATATAGAAAACAATAATTAGAAACACAATACAGGCTGGTATAATATAACAAAACATCAAGATAATCTCGCAGTCATCTATGGAACATCATAGAAATTCGAAAGTTGAATGTCGAAAACGCGTTAGACGCTCACAAAGAGATAACCCAAGATATCCTGGCATCTCAGCAGACCTTTAAAATGGGCGCGGCGTTCGAATATTTAAGATATTTCCTTTAGTTTACAAGTATGGAGGACGCGTGTAAATTAACAACATAGACAGGTGAAGAAGCAGATGGCTGAATTGTTTTAATAAAAGCTAAAAATAATAGCAGTGCTATAAGGATAGTACTTAACTCCTAACATGGCATCGTGTTCTTGAGGCGGCACGAAAATTGTACGGTTGCATATCAGATAGTGAGCTATTGACATTAGTCAATGTTTACACAAGGGAACCAAACGGCAGTCGAAATACGATTATGATGATAAGGAGGCGTAAACAGCTCGTAGGCGCCCGGGCAGCTTATCAATAGTCTCAATGGGCATTTGGTTTCATGCGAAAATTACTTAAACTTTTAACATCACCGAGCTCTAGCCACAACCGGTTATGAAGCTCGGCGGACGCGGAACGGGAAAGAGATTCAACGAAATATGTGAAACAGACGAAGTTATAGCATAGTTTGAAATAAATAGATATTAATATACTGCTTTGTCCTTTATATTATCAAGTTCCAGGTAATTTTGTTTATTATGATAACTGATACACTGACACGGTTTGATAATTTATCATTTTGAAAACAAATAGGAAGTAAGTAGTGGGAGAACACGTCCGAGTGACGTTCAAGACAACTTGATCCGTGGATTGAAGCAATTAGTTATAGACATAGCAGCTGTGTGTAGCGGATGCGAGGGGTCACCAGTTTAATATCTTCATAAGATCAGCACACGAATCCTTAAGGAGTGATTCAGTGTCGACAGATGGCCCACGTCAATTAGCTTGATAAATGAAAACATAATTTACATCAGCGAGATACAACAATGAGCTATTTGCATAGGAAGTGATATGAACTAGCTAACAATAAACATTGTCGCCTCATGGAAATCAATAGTAGAAATCCATTTTTCCCAACGCACCTTGTGAGGTGAACGCTATATACGGTTATGATGTTTTTGTTAGCTTTTCAAAACTACAATCAATTAGAGCTTTCGTCGCATAGTTTTGACGAATTTATAATAAGTAACAGTCGTTTAATACGTCCACCAGAGCGGACGTGTTCGGAACGTCACTGAATATTAAACGGTCAGCTATATGACGACCGGACGTCTTTGAACCTTCGACATAAATATAAAGTTATACGTGCTGTACAAGGAGCGAGCTCGGCCGGTGTTTTGTTTTAACTATCAAATATGGTCGAACGTAGTATACTACGTATTGATTTGTTAATCGTGTATGGAGAGCGCATTTTGGTCAGCTGTATCGTAAGTGTATGCCGGTTCCCACGGCTGTGACTCTCGGCCGGCTATAAAAAGTTGACGACGTAAGAGTACGTGGACAGGTAGCGTTTATGAACGTGCTACACTATTACTGTTTAGAGCCCGGGATCGGATTGTCTGCGATATTTTTATTACATATTAACATTGACATATCGGTTATCAATTATTTGTTATTTTTTACACAACAACAATATCGTGAGAGCGACGTAGCGTGCATAGAACATAACTAGGAATGCGATGCGTTAAATTGTATTACGAGCCGAATGATATCGCTTTGAATCATCGGGAATTGTTTGATAATCGTTTTATGAGGGTGCCTGAAGAGACTCCTATCAGAGCCAGTTTTAAAGTTACGTTATTAATTAACGAACCGATGTAAGGATACGTGGGAAACGTTTATTTTTTTATTTTTTGTAAACGTCATCTTTATTGGGGTATATTCATTTGTTTAGAACAAAAGCTATAATCAGGTGACCGAAAGTTTCGCATGTTCGTTGCACGTGTTTGAAAGCTATTGTTTGTTTTTGTAGTTATTGTTCTTATCGGCTTTAACGAAAGCTGAAGAAAATGCAACAGATGGCTCATACTATCTAACGTTGACCACAGTCAACAAACAATAGTAATAAATCTAAGAAAACAAACAAGATTATTGAATGGATGGCATTATAACGAAACAAAACATCGTTTACCAAATACAGTATGAAAGTATAAAATAACAGACACAGCATCACGTTTCTTTACGACATGAGAAAATACCTAGTTATTCGTAACACAAACAGCGGCCAAGTGGGGTCGTGATTTCATATTTCACACTTCACCAGTGTGGCAACGTTGGACAGGTTTTTTCATTTAACTATCACCAGAAAAAAAATTCTTACTCGTATTAATATAAATTATGAGACATTGAATATTATGAATTCAGATTAATAACTAAAATAATCAATACATTTATTAGAGATTTGAACCACTTATATATTCCGTTCAATATAATATTTAAATTCTTTTAATGATGCATCTTTCTATTTTAGTGAAGGACAATGACCCGATGACTCAACGAGTGTCCTTTAAAACAGATATAGGTAGTTTTATAAAAACATTATACCGTGTGAATGAGCGTGTTCGTGAAAAAATATTCAGGTCAACATTTTATTGGCGACAGTATACATGCATTCGGTTAGAATGCTAAGCAGTTTCGTGGTAATCACGAGTAGATATGGCGGGAATCGGTTCTAGTTTACACTGATAAATTGTGATGTCGCTGCAGCTCGGCTTGTGTACACGATACGAATTACATCACAAATTGGTCGGTTAATACTTTGTTGGTATATAGTCTGGCCGCCATAGACAAAAGACGTTCTCAAAGCAACCGTCATATATTATCCATAGATACATTTATATTATTGATTTATCGACTGTTTAAGAAGTAAATCCATAAAAGTATTATAACAACGAAAAGCGTTTAAATGTTAAAAGGATGCCATAACTTTTAAAGGTTTTCAAATTTAATGCAATTATAATAAGTACGTATTAAAGTTATATGCGCTCTGTTAACATTCAAATTAATTGAAGTAAACCGTTAAATTCATGAATAGTTCTTATAAAAACTAACTTCAAATTAATTACTTAGTAATAATTAAAATAATAAATTATGACGACTGGATTAATTAAAATTAAAAAGAGGTTTATATAATGAAGAAACCTAACAGAGCATAATACATATTACATAAGACGAGTCGTTTTTTTAAAGTTCCTTACCAATTGTAGACAACGAAGTCAAGACATTAACAATTTATTACCCTCAATTACAATCATCGCGAAAAAAGCTACAACACCGGAATCTGGGACTATGGAAGACAAAAAAGGAGGATAACTTTAATTTCACATAGCATCACAGGCATTCGACCGTACTCAAGAGCTGAGGAATTCTAAAAATGAAAATGTCGGCCATAAACAACGGAATGATTTGAATGAGGCATAAGCATTAAAAATAAAAACAGAATTAACAAATTTCGGGAGACGCACCCGGCTCGTGATCTCTGATAAGACTGACGGCTCAAATGAAACCGAAACCAGAGGAAAAAAAATACATGGGATCCGGATATCACAGATTATACATCAGCCGCGATACATATATATAGAAACTTTTTTCTAAAACATTTTGCATACCGATGTCAGATTATAAAATCGTATCGTGGCGTATTCTTATAAATCTAACTAGGATAACAGACTATTAATATTCACGTCATGACAGAAGCTCTGGAAATAAACTCATATAGTTCATTTGAAGACACACGAATTATACATAACTTGGACATTGTAAAACCTGTACGGTCATATCGTTTTTAGTTTATAATACACAAGTTAACAATAAATTCGAAGGAGGTACAAATAATGACAAGGATTTATTCCCAGTTGCGAATAGAGCGAGTCAGGTTCTTGGAAGCGTCCGTGTGATGAATAAACTGGGGAATGTGTGGAATTCCATCATAGATTTGAGACCAACGTGAGAAACACCAAGGACTAATAAAACAGGAATCCATTATGATTTTTATATACCACGTTACATATTTGATACCTTATAATTGACGTGCGCTAATCATTTTAAATCATTGTAGCATTACACTCAGAAGTTTCGGTAATGAATCGGCGTTTGTGAAGCTTTTATTGGCGGCTGTAAATGTTAGGACGCTGTTAACATGTCAGAATTTGACCGTAAACGAGTGTCTATTAAAAAAAATAGAAGTGTTTTCATAAGTCTACCCGCCTCGCCGTAATAACAAGGCCCGGGAAGTTTTATCGTCAATTCATTCTGTTGATGAGATTATTTTCTTCATCCTATGACTAATCATTTATCTGTTTTTGAGTTCTCATTGTTTTTATAGCAGCGGAGATTACGGATTTTAATCTGACATAATTGTGGTACAGTTTATTTAGGTAATTTTTTTTTGTAAAATTCGCCCTGTTTAATTGATGGCCCACCGAATACCTGTTCGCCGGCTCGAACAATGCAACGCCAATTATCCACGCTCCGATTATAAAGATTTGAATGTTATGAAATTGTATAAATCATATATTACACAACTAGTTTTAATAAAGCTCATTCAACTAATCGCTATTCTTCCGATGGGAATGAAAGGGTTTGTGAGGGAGTGCTATCGAATAAGGAATTCCATGGCTTCGGAAGATTATTAAAAGCAGCGGATGCTGGGGTAAGTATTTAAAGAGGATCCCGGCGGAGCTGATTGAGATAAAGGAAATTATTAAGAGCACTCCGTACAAAAAGTAAGGACGGAAACTCAGTGGTACAGTACAAGAGGCGTTCGTGTATCGGGTTACCTTACACGGGGATCATCCGTGCGAAGGTTATTTAGAAGCTATACTTATCAAACTAAACGAATATTAATACGTAATTACGTTTATATTGAAATCTATATTATAGTTGTATGATCGTTTAATTTCTATATCTGCTAGATGTTTCACAATAACTTTCTAAGTTGATGCCTAACGGTCGCTCCCCATATCCGTGCTTTACTCCATTGTTTCAGTCGTGACGTCAGAGCTCTGTAACGCTAATTTCCTAGTAGTAACGTGTACAGTACACCACACATGTCGACACAAGCAGATTCTGCTTTCATTGAAATTATAACGAGCATTTAGAGCGTGAAAATATTGTCGAAACATGCAAAACACAATCTCGTGAATTAGATGCGCTGTTGCTTAGTCTACTTTGAGTTTTATGGTACTTTTATTTATATAAATATTTTATATACAACTCAATTCTGACATCAACTATTAGAGAGTCATTTTGATAATATAAATGGAAGAGCAATTCATGATTTTGTTGAGACTAATCACTAATGAGGTTTTATATCATTGATTCATTAGGACTAGGGCGAAGTCGCGGTGAGTTACTAGTTATAAAATTAAAGGACAATCACATTGTTATTAAAGAGCAATAAAAATGTCTGTTGGCGGATGTTCACTCGATAAAACCGAGTATGGCTGCTGCAAACGAAAGAGGCAGTTTGATTTTAATTAGCCTTAATTAAGTTAAAGCACGCTAGTTCCCGCCAGCGTCTCACGGTAAACGATAATAGGACGAACGAAATGCTTCCGGTGATAATGTTGATATGTTAAATAATATAATAAAAAAATAGATATAATCAGATAATTCCTAAATGTTTATATTGTAACGGGACTTGGTTGTAATGCTCCGGAGTGAGGCGACTGTGACATTGTTTTTGTAAGCTATATGGGTCGGTCGTAATCTTTGTGGGAAAATGACTTGCGGGAACTATTTATTACGTTCCAAAACATGACAAATATATTTAATGCAATATTCATATTAATTATTTATTATTAACTTATAATTTATAACATTTGGATGTCGATATACAAGACAATGGCATTTCTTACTTGTATTATGGATATAAAAACTATAGTTCACGGTCAGTTATTGTGTAAATGTGCCTTAACTATTCGAAACTTTGCTCTTCGCGAACGGAAATATTCTATGTGTATCTCTGTCCTTTTCCAACAGACGTCTCGCTCACACATAGTTTAATTAAATATAGCAGGTGCTTTCAGCATTTATGTGTTCAATTGTACATATTTCTTATAACGGTCACTACATTAATGAATGGACTCGCCCATTGTAGGGGTACACAACCCCCGTTTCTGATTACTAAACTGTTTGATATACCGTACAGGGGTTGGCAACCCCCCTCGCTAACCTAACCTAACCCCTGTCTTTGATTCTTTAACTATTTTACGTGTTGAATATAGGTGCTATGTTTGTATGTTTTGTCTGATCTGGTACAGTTAACGGCTCTTTAAATTTAAAGCCCAATATAAAATGTGATTTATAAACAAAATTTGTTTAACACACTAAATGTATCTCGGACGTAAGTGGAATAAGAATATGTGTGAGCCGTATTATTTTTACGACAAATGTGTCGTTAAGCTATTTCTTGTAATTTGAATTAAATTTTGTTATGAATATTAATGTAATCGAGTTAAATCTGATAATAAAATGTAGTTTTTTGATCTTCGTCATCATATATTCGACAAGAGTTATAACATGAAATGGACTAAGTTTTTCAATATACATAAAAAGTCTGAATGTGTTTCAATATTTCCTTCAATTCATTTTATTTATGGTAAAATTCATTCGGCATTTATAAATTACCATCTGCTTATTGCGAAGTCGTTTTTCAAGTCCAGTGTAGTTTACATTTAAATTAGTGTTATTGGAATTATTTATTATATGCAATTTTAATATACTTTAAAATTAGCTGGTGTCCTTAGTAAAATCCATGAGACATATGGAAAAGCAGATGGTGGATTTCAGGATTCCTATCAGATGAGATAAGGCATATGGCGGCTTCGGAATAGCTTATACTGTCACAGAAACTCGATAGAGGAATGTTCCGCGTCGCTTTCATAGTATGTCACAATAAATGAAATGAAACAGGAAGTTTCAATGAGGCGAATTCATGTGATCCTTGATTAAACGGACGCGCTGTGGTAGAAACTTTTGTATGCAATCTACCTGAAATCCAGATGTGGTTTTATCCAAATATTAGACCTCTAACCGCTAAACGGTAAGTAAACATTCAAGCATCACTCCGTTACCGGAATTCCATACTGAATTAACTATAGCATCCAATTAAGACGCCCAACCCTCTTATCACGATCCATACATAATTAGAGGATTGCGATGTCGAATCACGACGGTAATCGTAATTAATATGGGAATGTTGGCACAATGAGAATGGCTTGTTACCGATTTAATACATTAATTAAAAAATAACTATCGAAAGCGTACCGGCCGTGACTCAAACGTCAAACGTCATTGGACTGTCAAAGTTTGAAAATGGAATCTTATTTTATTTGTTTTTTTTTTATCAAATTTAGAGTGTTGTTAATATCAAAAAGGTTTTATTGAAATTATAGTTTAATCCTTTTTTTGTTAGAGTACAATAAATAATATAGATAAATGGTATTAATAATGACTTACCGGCCACGTGAAATCGAAGGGGAATACGATGGGGTTGGTGAATCCTTCGACATTGAGGTTCGGTACATCCAAAGAGTTTCCACCGAGCACCGGCGTAGTGATGTCACCGAAGGTACAAGGTGATGTCGTATCGATGTTCGCTTGGTATATCTTGAGGCACACTCTAAATTTAGTCCTGCAAGGCGCTACGCACTGCTCACTATTGGAACCATCACAGCACTGCCCACTACTTAGCCTACCGAGCGAGTTTGTAAAACTTTTTATCCTCAGTTCGAAGGAACCGGACGACAGCACCTGGAAATAAAACATGATATTAGCCAAGTCACAGATTATGATTATTTGCGCAACTGTCAGTGATCGATCCTGTAGACATTAACGTTATATATGGGGTGATCACGTGGGGTGGCGCGAACACCCCGACAGAACCAAACTTGATGGACTATTCTGTTTATTTTATGTTTAACACAAATTTAGAAACCCCCAGCTTTGTTTTAAGCGATATATTTTTTTTCTCCGTCTACTTTGTTGATAGATACGTTGGAATACAATATTTAGAATATATTTTTTGTCAGCGTGAATAATAATAAGACTTGTATGTAGCAACCCTTGCCTTAATGAAGGAATGCGCAGTTGGTCGGTCTACATGTGGGATTAACTAGTTTGTCAGAGTTATGCGTTAGGTTATGTTGTATACCACCTTGCAAGTTAAACGCCTATTATTATTATATGTTTAAAGACGACTTTTTTATATATTTTAAGCATCCCGTGGAAGTAATTATACGGCATCGGAAGGAAGTGGCCGGTATTAAGTTATGCGATCACGACTCATTCAGCCGACATAAGACCATTACAACGCGATCATCATGTATATTATAATATAAAAAAAAAATAAACATTGTTTCCTGCGCACCAACATAAATCATTATCGTACAGGTTGATGTCGTTAATTCGTTATAATTGACATTAAAAAAAACTTCAATTTAAATCTTTATGGGTATAGTTAATTCATCTTTATCTCCGCTCACAATTAAGTCATTAAGTTTTAGTTATACGGCGATAATAAACGATATTATTAATATAATTCTTTTCCCACGCACAATGAACTTCATAGCTGAACTTGTCAAAAGTTTACAACAAAGGTGAAAATAATGAACAATGAACCATTCATGTCTTATCTAGCCAGACGGTAGGTCTGTGGATTTAAAAAATTAACCACAATTTTTGTAAAAAAACAATCACTTTAACAAAAAAAAGACACCAGATTCCGAACGACTTCCTGCCAAGTTGTTAGGGGTTGTTTAAGAACGCGCGAAACATATTCCGTCTCTTTTTTATTTATGGCCATAGAAAAGGACGCAGGATTCACATCCACGTGGTAGGATCCAGGTAGGAGCGGAAAATAAAAAAACATTCACTAAACATACCCTTTTTATCGTGATGTATTGTTTATGAAAGTAGCACAGGTTAGCGGGCTTTAATGAAATTAATTATACATTATAAGAAAAATAACGATTTCTTATGTTAAGAATGTTTCTATTGTGAGCCAGTGAAGACAGCCGCGGGCATTTTAACAATTAAATAATACTTACTACTGTATAAGTTTTATTTTATTATAGCCCCGGGCATCCATCATGGCGATGATTCCGTTGACTGACGCTCTTTATATATATAATTATGGCGCGAGTTTTAATTCTATACAAATAATGTTGCGTAATAATTAAGTAATACAAAAATCAATCTGAACGTTCCTTGTCTCAATATTAATGCATTCGACGTACGAGTCGTGAGCGTCCATGTTTTTTTTCTCATATCTGAATGGAAAGTAACACAGGCATGTTACATTAATTGCGGCTACGTTTTGAACCATCTAAATTGATTTCGAGATTCTAGTTGGGGAGAAAGATCAAATCTTTACATTAATACCAATTAATTTTATTGATATATAAAGTTTTTAAATGATTATGACATCACTGGTAGATAAATTAGGATATTAAAAAAAATTATGTATAAATATTTATTAAATTCATGTCGTGTAGTAATAATGCGTACACCATTGTATGTAAGCCAACAGTACGGACGGCAGGTTTAATCTAAAAATAGCACAAATAATGAAACACACAGGGGAATGTTTTTCATCTCGTCCGTTATACGCGAAATGTGTTAGAATAAACATCGAGTCTTTTAATAGATCGACGATGTGGCCAGTGCATCAAATTAGCATACGATTTATATTTGGAAAAGTCGCATTATTTAATATTCTGTTAACGGGCATTAAAGTTTAATATTAGTTACGACTAAGAGATTGCACAAAGGCATGGCTTCAAAGGACGTAAAGAAATAAAAGGAGTTCTTACGAACAAAACAGATTTCGACTTACAAAAGTTACAATCTTTGTTCGACCGTTAATACCTAACAGCTGCAGCGGAATAAAAGAAAAATGCAAGAAACAGAATTAGCGATATACCAGTATTGTTGCATTACTATCCCTGGATCGACTAGAATTTTTATAATGTATTTTGCGGTTTAACAATTGCTATGGAATCGAGATTTCGTGTATCCATTATTATGATGAAACAGATTCTTTTGTTTTTATAGTTATATTTTCGTGTTGTGGAATTTTAACAAGATACTAAAATAATAAAACAGTACGCGTAAGTCACTTGAGTTATCGCCATATTATGTTATTTGTATTATCTGTGGGTATTTCAGATTGCTTTGAGTTTCGATTCATGTCAATTAGATACGAAATTGCCTGTTATTTATACATTAAATCGAATTATTTTTAAGTGCAACTTAAAGCGTTTATCGTTAGTGATTTTAAAAAGAACTTTTAAGTGATGCATAAAAGTTATGATATAAGTGAATGAAGGTCTTATCATGAATATTTTTTATTAACACGTCCCACGCTGACGATTACAAAACAGATGTAAATTCCAAGTGTGATTTTTGGCACAAATTACCTAATTCTATGTTACAGTACATCTAATATGTAAAAAACTTTCAATGTACATTATTGCGAATACATAAATCGGAATATATAATATATAATGAAAGCGTAGATCAAAAAAATGTTATAATCAATCATTGTTTAGTTCGGAGTACGGACAAAGCTATGCGTGTGTTTATAAATAATGCATAATATCGACTTCCCCAACCATCCAGTCTGTCTGCATTGCGTAATCTCCTCAATGATCCTTGGGGCCATTTGGAATTTTTTTATTGGGAATCAGGAATCAATCGAGCGTCCGGTTGGAAAATGTCTAATGAACTCTCACAAACGACATCTCACACAATGGATGCGCGGAGGCGTAATGAATTTGTCATTAGTCTATACAGACATAGTAAGATGAAGTGACATGTCTACCGGATAAATGATTTAAAAAATCACTGAATACAGCTTAATGAAATAGTACAATGCTAGTAATAATAGACCTGCACACCTATAACTATTAGGAGCCATTAAAATTATACAATGAGACGAAATTCTTTTTCTCATAGTTAAGACATTAAAAACCATAGATTATACAGATTTCGTATGAGTTTTAGTGTAATTAAGTCGGTTCTCATAGAATTTTTGTTCTTTCGGACAATGGACATAACTATGAGTTTAAATGCCTTCACATACTTACGCTTATTGCGACCGACTTGACATGCGATTAATTTTATTGGGCGAATTACTCAATTCTAATGTTGCCACTATTATAATAATACGGTAAATTCTGGGAAGTAAACCTCAAATTTATATCATTCCATCGGACAGTTTAAGTGGGGAAAACTTTAATATTCACATATAATTCTTTTCATTGTAATTTCTACACATTCAGTTACATGACCGGACGATTTCTTTTTCAAGTGAAAACCGAAATAAGTGTGCCACATACTAGTAAAGAGAAACGTTTCTAAAGGATGATTATATACAAGTATACCCAAAATGAACTTTAACAGAGGTCAGTACCGATTCGTGCGAGTGAATTATAAAAAAAGCAGATGTTAGGTTTCTTTAAGAGTAGCCATTAATGTAGCACCTGCTTGCAATGTGTGCCGTGAACACGACCAAAGAATATAGGGTTAAGAAATAACACCGATTATATCACGAGTGATACGCATAACGCAACAAATACTGGCCATAGAAACATGTGTCCTAGATATACAAGTAGACAAGTAGCCGTGGAGTACACAAACAATCTCTGTACCGAAACATGTCGCAAACAAATATATTACTACATTCAGAACTACATATTCTATATGAAGAATGTTAATACTGTAGATCATGTTTAAGTTTATCGTTCATCGGATAATTGGGGATGCGAACAGAGTTAGTTCGAATTATTTATAATAAATGGAAATTTTGATTATTCGGTTGCGGTTTTTGGGCAGACGTGTTTCCGATGCCACTTCCGATCGTGGTTAACTCACGCGATCCTCAACAAATAACTTAGATATTACTATACGAATGTAAAAATAACTACGTATCGAGAATCGAATCGCTCAACCGAAATAGAACTAATCTTAGACAATTCCACAGACAACAGACAAAGATTTAAGACGACAAACAACGAACACTTCAAACAACTTAAGTGATGTTTTTTTATTTTAGTAGCACTTGTTAAAAAATGTAACAGAAAAAGCGTAGCCGATTGAATTATAAACTAAAGTTATCAACGGGGCCGGTAATAAGTAGGTAATGTATAATGTAGACAGCGGGATGTAATGATCGGTTCAACGGAGGATGAAATAAATAAAAGACAAGTAAAGTGCACAAAAATCGCACGATACACTAGGTCCGTTCTCACCGGTCCGAGGACGGGTTGTATCGCGAGAATTAATAGTGTCTTGGTTATAATAACGGTACTCAACTAACATATTAATAAATGGATGAATGTGCGCCGGCGCATACGGCTCGTACGACACTCGGGGAATCGATATTGGACACCATCAGATGTGGATGCGGGAGATTTTAACGTTCTATCGATTTTGGGGTGCCATTAACATTTAAGTTAACATTAGAGAGTTTAACCGCACAGATTCACTGGCAAGTTAAATAAATAATCTGACGGTTAATGGCTCGTTGCGTGTTAACTAGTGCTTCGGTTATAAACATGACTTTTGAAAACACAATTAATTAAAGTTTACGAGACGAAATTAATTAATTATAATTGATTGTAAGAAGCTCCTTTCGATTGCATTCTTTGATCTAGTTTTATTGTATGATTGTTGTAAATACCTAATTAAATTATTTCAGGAACTTCCTACGACCCTTAATGTGTCTGATAACCTTGACCGTTTATAGGACAGTGACCCGACACAATTTGTCATTTTCACGACATTAATTATAAAGCTTTTAATACAACACTACGAAACACAAAATACATGGTAATAAGTCAGCTTAATAACAGCATTCGCAATGTATTATGTGCGGGTTGCGTCTTATAAACGAATTAACTTTCACCTAATTCTACCTCAATGTGGAGCGTTTATTAATCCTTCCATAAATAACGTTTCGAGTTAAGAGAACGTCTGCTATTTATTCTCGTCCATGCATCGCGGATTAGTCCTTTTGGGAATCGAGTACATCGCGAAGCCTCGGTATGCATCTAATTTTAAACGAAGAGGCTCGCGACCTAGCTGACCCCGCTTCGACCGTACTAAAACCTGAACTTTCTTTATAACTATGTACATACTATGTTTGTTCGGTAAACGTTTCAAACACACACAGACACATCTCCGGAGCCGCTCAGGTCCGGTCACGACTCGGTCTAACCTACACCCTCGCCTATCCAGGACGATCTAGCTGATTCGAGAGCCACTCCGTGGGAAACTGGCTGTCGCTCGTGACGGTGCACCACTTATTACACATGCCTAATAAAAACTGAGACCGATTCGCGATCGTCTCCATTGCAATTGTAAACGTAAACAAAACGGGAATTCGCGGTTTTGGGTGTCAGTGTCGGTACCTGGGGCAGAAACCCTAGCAGGGCGATCAGCACCGTAGGGGCGCGCATACTGGCGCGGCCACCGGCGCCTGGGCATACACGGGATCAGATCCCCGTCAGCAAACGACGGTGCTGTAATCCATCACTCGCACATGTCTGCACTGAGTTTCACTATAAGTCACACAACACTTAGAGGTGTCACGCTCATCGGTTAAAGGAACCGGTCGCGTTGTTTGGTGCACTACGTTCGAATTGCGCGCGTGCGGCCGGCGTGTTACAGCCGTAATGACGTGTGTTTCGCGACGGTGCGTGACGGCGGACTGAGGGCGGGTGGAAGCCGCGGTGCGGGCATCATACACCTGGCGACGCGGCGCCGCTAGATGGCGCTGCGCGGCGCATCTGCCGCCCGGGCCCCCCCTCCCCCGCCCCCCGCCGTCTCACCCGCACGCCCCGCCCCGCACGCTCTCAACCAGAAAATATACGGAAAACAGCCGTCCGACTTTGGCTGAACGTCCTAGACACGTGCTCGTAGTAACTAAAAAAAAAAAGACTAGTGAACCTTTGTTCGATACCGTCACTGAAAATATTATGTATATTGTATTTGATAATTTAAAAAAAAGATTTAAATATTCTAATGTGTGCGTTAGAGTTCAACATCAAGCGACTTGCCACTTGTAGTTGAAGATTTATAGTTTTTTTTATTCTTTATTATTAATTGGTAGCATGTTTATTGTTATAATTAATATATTGTAACTGGATGTAAGCGTCAGTTATGACAGTAATAAAAATCTTTCGTTACCTACTTAAAATAATAAAAAATTGCGTAGGTACTTAGGTGTGTAATAATAATATTTAATTAACCCTCGTCTAGGTCGTTTTGATGTTACGAGTTAAGACTTATATTTGTTATTTAGTATAAAAGTAATATTTCATATAACTATAGGTAATATATTTATAATATAAATAATTCATTTTATTATAATAATACATTATATCCTAAAGGCCGGGAGGATGTTCATTAAAATTAAAAGCGTTTCCGTTTAGTTTAAAATAATACTTATTAAATCAATTATTATTCGATACATTTAGGATTGCGTGATCTTGGAGCGAAATGCAAATGTTTTTTTTTTTTAATCTTCGCAGCTGTGTCTTGCGTTACTCTGCCAAGCGATATCGTTTATGAAGGGGAATTACTAGTTGTTCTTATTATTAAAATGTTATCCCGAGGCGAAACAAAACCTGGTAGCCGAACTGAATTTACAATTAGATAAACATTTATTGTAATCTATATTTTTTGGTTTTTATTTAATAACTACGAAATTTTATTGTTTATTTGTGAATACGTAAAATATTTTTATTCATGTGTAGTTTTAATTACGTATTTGTATATGTTTGAAAAAAATTATAATTGGTCTGTATTTAAATATGAATTGTAAATAATATATCAAAAATCAAATCTATCTTAATATGAATTGAATTTTTTATTTACTTAACTTCTTACTATGAGAATAAACCAGTCTACGTAAGGCATATTTTATAGAGGATATAAAACTTCAAATAGTTCCTTTGCCAAAACTAGTTAAAGTAAATTACATATATGAAACATAATAAAATATTCCAAACATTAAATCATTGCGTTCATTAAGCAGCTATCATTGAATAAATATATTTTTATAACGGCATTTCGTATTGCCCTGTCTTAGAACTAGTTTAAGGATACTCAATGTCCAATGACTTATTTCAACGACAATAAACTTCTTTGACGTCGTCATAATATTTATTGTCGTCTGGTATTTCGAAAAACATTAATGGCTTGATTGGTTTGATTAATACGGATAATTTATATATTATGATGAAAAAAATTATAAATTAAATAGAATAATGAATATATTTTCATTAATACAAGTCACGCATTAACCGGGTCATGTTTTTCGCGATGAAACAAAGAACCGCGCCCACTCCGCCCCTGACATACAATTTTTTTAATTTGCTCCTATTCCGTTTAATGCCATTCAGACATTTGTTCATCATTATAGTAAATACTCATTTAATAAGATACTCTTTATACATTTTTTTTTCATAAACTTTGTCAACTGCCAGTGTTTGTTGGTATTGTAAAGAGGTTTTAATTATTATAATTTTTTCTTCTAAAATAATATTAGGACGTATCATAGATAATAAATAACTTTGAAATAATCATGTTTTAGATATACTCCTGTTATTATTACGGTATAATTAAAGTAAAGATATTTTTTAATTATATTCAGAAGTAAATTAACTGATATTATCAAAAGGATATCCGGTATGATACGCGGCCTAGGAAAAACCTAGACTATTAAGTATTTCAGACAATTGCCTCTGTTATTAATCCTTACAACGACAGGGCTGTGTCATATGACATTTTAAGTATGAATATATATTAATACTAGAAGACCCGGCGAACTTCGTATCGTTATAATAATCAAGAAAGATCTGTTACGTCTTTTTATTTATATTTTTGGAGTTTACCTATTAAAACCATAATTGGTCCAGTCGTTTGAGAGAAGTTTAGTGACATACACACTTACAGAAGAATTATATATATAACGATATATGCACATACAAAATATGTATTAAGTCTGCATCTACCTGCCTCATTATGATATAAAAAACTAATAAATTTGTTTTATAGCTAATCGCGACTTAGTTTTTATTTTACTTATAAGATAACGCATTTTTTATATACAAAATTATATAATGTATAAATAATTATTCATTTTTTTTATTTTTTTTTAGTGACATCCCTAAGAAAAATACTTAGTTTAACACCGCTACTATCAAGTCGGATGCTTTGTATCTCATGAGGTTTATTTAATATAAATGAAACGAACTCTATTATTAAAACAAATAGCAAAACCTGTAATAAAAAATGTCACATCAACTAAATATGATCAATATAAAATTTATTAAAAGTAAACAAAAATTAAATCAAATTTTTTATTCAATCTGTATTTAATCTCGGAATTGCATCAACATATAAAAACGTCGTATACATTCATTCATTCCAATGAGTGAATGATATTGGTGCTCTTTGACAGCTCACCTCACTATAAACATTCAAAAGCATTCGTATTATCGTGAACCGTGTTTTCGGATGCATATTGGCTCAAGAATGTCGTTGCGCAACTATGTCGAATGCAACCGTATAAACATTTTCATTTAATATTTTTAATGAAATATATATATTTGTTTTTGTTTTTATATTATAATATATTTTTTTAAGTTACAACATTTAATTGACGAATAGAATAAAAAAAGCAATATGTCATTTAGTCTTAAGATTGATAATTATAATCGGATGTATTTTGATTTTTAATAAAGATTTTAATTAAGACGTATTACATAAATTTATTTTAAAAAAATCTTTTACAGCTTATTGAGTAATATGTTCATGTTTTTAATATAAACTAAAATTTTTATGACATCTCATATAACCAAATCGCTTCTTATTTAATACCGTTCAGGTCGAAAGATCACTTTATGACTGACCAAATAGCTACTGGAACCTTACCACAAGACTATAACATCATACTACATACGAAAAGTATCTTGTTTTTAATTCAGAAAACTACACTAAATTAAAAAACTGGCAACACAACAATAATGAAACTACTCAAACTTGTAGTAAATTTGAACTAAACTTATGATTAAAACAGAGTGTGGTTCTAAATTTAAAAAGTAAAGAATTGGCGGGAAAATATCCCATCAAAATGGCGGCGAATTTCGTTTCTATTATACCAGAAAAATTAAGAATATACGCCAGTATTAAAATTAATTGCTTTAACATACGAAGTACGTAAATGGAGCTTCGAATTGAAAAATAACCTTGGTTATAATTTGGATTTGTATAGAAATTTGACCTGGAAAAATTATAAAGAGTTAGAAGTAAAGTGTATTTAAGTTTTAATATTAATAATACTTAATAACAAATAATATTATCGCAATAGATAATGATATTGAAGATCAAAATTTATTATAGAAAGCTATATAATGGTATTTTATGTTACTGTAAGTAAATATTAGACGACAAATATGGCAGTCGTTTTAGGTCAACCTGTAACAAGTTAGTACATTTGAATTCTAGTTCCAACTGTTTTTATTGTTGTTTTATGATAATTTTATTCTTAGTTTTGTTTTAGATAAAACCTAGATTAATCTGATATACTGTTATTATCTATTAAACGTTTTATCACTTCGTAATTCATATATGTATAGGTATTTTTGTTTATATATTTATATGTAAATGTACATAAAGTTTAATGTTTTGAATAAGTCATATCTTTGAACGCACCAAAGCAAACATTCCGTCGTTATTTCAAGTAATAATTGAATTCAAATCCGGATTTGAGGTTGTAAACGGCAAGTACCTATCCATTAATTACAGATCGCCTGGGTGTCGTGAAAGTTGACCCCGGGTCGAACCGGGATACTGGCTTTCGCGCGTACCTTGAGCTATCTTCACAATTTTAATATCTCAATAATCTAAGTACTATTTATATGTACTTATGTATATACACATGTATAAAACATTATGTTATTTTTTTTTATTATTGTTATTTTATGGTTCTGTAATCATCGAAATATGTAAAGGTACTTTGTTGTTTAAGTAAATTAATGCTTCTTAAATTCTTATGACAAAGTTTTAAGATGTTTCTCAAATAAATAATTTATATAACTATGAAATTGAAATGAAACCACTTCATAATTTTAATAAAGATTACGTCTTGATGATATATGATTATTCTTATTTTCGTTCATTATGACAGTTAAAGAATATATTTAGTATTTACTAACGCTTGTAAGTTTCAGTCAAATAAATAGATTTATACCTAAATCTGTTTTATTATTAAGTTAAATGTGTCGTCCTTGATAAATATAATAATCTGTAGATGTCTCTTATAGTCGTAACAAGATTTCCCAATCGCATGTCTCGATTCAATTGCAAATCTCAAAATACCGAGACGTAATTACACTAACTAGCGTACTCTATAAATAACTGTACATATATATATTATAAATATTACATTTAT